GGCAATCTCCCAGCCATTTGGTCTAGCTGGGGAGTTGCTGCTGTTGTGCCCAGGTCATGCTTGGGGGTTTCCAACTGGGGAATCTGGCTGGCCACTGTGAGAACAGGAGGTTGGGCTAAGTGGCCCCCAATTTGACGTGACCCAGTTGCAGCCAGGCACTCCTGATGCTCTCAGGAGAAGCAGGTGCTCACTTTGCAACGATCCACAGCGACTGCAGCCTCAGATCAAAGGGCTCCTCTTGAGCAAATGGTCAATTCATCTCCTCCTCTCTCCACCCTGTACCAAAGCCTCGCTGGGGCCAAATATATCCTCCCGCCTCTCTTAAGCTCGCTGGCAGTCTTCTCAAAGATGGGCCATCAAAACCACACGGAGAGCACTTGGCAGGCTTAAGAAGAAAGAAAAAACAGCTTCAAAGCTTTTCAGGATGGGAATGCTAGGCGCTTTTGAAGGGAAGGGAGACAGTCAGGTGGGAGAGGGGACATGCAAACGAGCGCTGGTTTATTCATGAGATGCAAATCACAGGCAGATCGCTTTCAACTGTTCCCAAGGCAGCTGTGCGGCGTTCCTGCTTCACTCCAAAGCATCTGATCTCAATATGCTGCGTCGAAGGGGTGGCAAGCCCCACTCGAAGCAAGGAAGCTGCGGCACCCACAAGCAGAAAAAGCTGCCGGGCCAAATCAACAGGATGAAGGACCTGTTCCCATTTCATCTCCCTCGATGGGTGAACATGTCACCCCTGCGGCACACAGCCAGCTGCTCCCCGTCTGAACCATCTGCCGGCCAACTTGGGAATGAACCCAGGAAGCTGCTTATACTAAGGCAAACCTGTGGCCCATCTAGACCAGTGCTGTCTTCGCTGGCTGGCAGCTGCTGCGCACCAGGGTTTCCTGCAGGGGCATTCTCAGCTCTGCCTAGATGTGCTCGTGGGGATTTCACCTGGGACGTCCTGCATGCAAATGATTTATTCCACTGCATTTTGATCTTAACTTTTCCTCCAAGGTGGTGTACGTGGCTCGCCCCCTCCTCTCCCCTGCAAGGTAGGCAAGGCTGAGAGAAGGCAGCAACTAAGATTTTGTCAAAGATGTATAACTTGCTGTTGAAATGGAATACTCAGGATGAAACGGTGAAATCTGCTATGATTAAATGGGCACAAGATGTTGGACATAACATAATGATGGCTGACTGGGAACAGTTATGGACCACAGGTATGAAGTTTACGGCATGCAATGCTCTAAGAGAGAATATTATGAAAATGATATACAGGTAGTACATAACCCCAGTCAAGCTTGCAAAAATCTACCATTTGCCCGATAATAAATGTTGGAAATGTAAAGAAACTGAAGGTACATTCTTTCACCTTTGGTGGACGTGCCCAAGGATTAAGGTTTTCTGGGAGATGATTTACAATGAATTAAAAAAGGTATTTAAATATACCTTCTTGAAGAAACCAGAGGCCTTCCTCCTGGGCATAGTCGACCAATCGGTGTTAAAGGAGGACAGAACTTTCTTTATGTATGCTACAACAGCAGCAAGAATACTTATTGCAAAGTATTGGAAGACACAAGATCTACCCACACTGGAGGAATGGCAGATGAAAATGATGGACTATATGGAATTGGCGGAAATGACTGGCAGAATCCGAGACCAGGGAGAAGAGTCGGTGGAAGAAGATTGGAAGAAATTTAAAGACTATTTACAGAAATATTGTAAAATTAATGAATGTTAGAATGATGTTGGATTGAAGTTAAGTGGTTTCTAGCTGTAATGGTATAAAAGAATATGGAAAAATTGGTTTTTAATATCTAAAAATTTAATGTTATAATATATCAGGATTAAAGATCAGGATTAAAAAGGAGGGAAAGGAATTGCTGGATTAATAAATTGAATTGGAATACAAAAGAGGGAGGTATGAGGAGGTCTGGGAAACAAGTAAATGTAAAAGAAGTGATGAAAAGATGGAATTGTTTTTAACTGGTTTTTCTTTTTTGTATTCTGTATTTTGTATCTTTTCTTTTTACTGTTAATTTTCTTTTTAATGTAATCTTTTCCTTTTGAAATTTTAATAAATATCATTAAAAAAAAATAAAAGAGAAGACAGCAACTGGTCCAAGGTCACCCAGCGAGCTTCACGACTGCGTGGGAATTTGAACCCTGCTCTCCCAGGGCCTAGTCTAACATGCTAAGCACTGCACCATTTCAGCAAAAGCAGAGACTTCTGGCCTATAGAGATCACCAGGGAGGGCTGGAAATGGCCCTAGCCAGAAACCCTGGGGAGCTGCTACCAGCCAGTGTAGGCAGTACAGTGAGCTTGATTCAGTATGAGGGAATTTCCTGTCTTAAAGGGCGGGCTGCAGCTCAGAACACCTGCTCTGTATCTAGAATGTCCCTGGTTTTTTTGTAATGGCTGAGGAAAGATCCCATTCTGTCTGAAACCCCGGGGAACCACTTGCTGCCAGTCAATAGTACCGTCATTTTTTCAGCTTGGTGCTGGGGACCTTCGTACAGGCAAACACAGACAATGATTCAAATATCCCCCTTTTAATCTCCAAAATAAAAACCAGCCCCTGCAAGAACAACAAAAGACATCATGCAGGTCATCTGTGGAAGACCTATCGCAGTGGAATTTTACTGCAGGAGAGGAGAGAGGAAAATGAAGAGAGCAGGTACCATCTGAGAAGGTACCATCTAGAAAGGGCAAATGTCAAGAGGAAATAATGGCGCCAGAGGCTGGAATCTTTCAGCATCACAGACAGCAAAATGGTGCTGGAGGTTATTCTGTTTATTAAAAAGGGACAGCGTGACCTTTTTTTTGCATTTACTCCTACCAATCCGTGCCAAATCCTGGCCACACGACACCTCACCCCTCGATGGGGCTTTGCTGTTGACTTGTGGCTACCGTGAGTAACAGAGAGGGGGGCAAGTGACCTTCATGCTTGGAACGGCCTTCCTAGTATAAGCGGCAGCTTTTTTGCTTCATCCAGTTTGTGACTCAGGCTGACAAACCATTGAGGCAGGATGACAGGGATGAGAAGCTGCTTCCTTCCCCTTTTCAGGCGTGATCTTTGCCTTGGGTATGTATATGCATGTTGCTTACAACACCCAAAACGTTTTCCAGGAAAGTGCACGAAACACAAACCAGTTACGGTAACTCCAATCAGCAAGGTACAACAGATCCTGGCAGAAGGCAAACTTGCACTCTCAGCAGCAGCACAAAACAGCCATCAGAGTAAGTTGTGTCATTTTGATTTTTGCTCAAGCATCTCGGCAGCACATGAGCCACTATTCATGCATGCAATCCACTACTAGGATGGAGTGATTAAGAGACTTGTCTGGAGGCAAGTCTCCTTGTCACCTACAACCAACAAGCAGAAACGAAATCAGCCTTTCCCTCAATGTTTGAATACAACTCCCACCAGGCCCAGACATTGTTGGCCTCCATCCGTCTCAAGAGACAATGGAGTGGTCCTTTGAGGGTGAAGTCAAACCATTGGGAGAGTTACAGCGGCTGCTGTGGCTGTAGAAACCGACGCAGGAGAGACCTGTTTTATTGCAGGTGGGGAGAATTTTGCTGCTACAGGTACACCATGGCATTTCTTCTCTCTACACCCTTCCCAGGAGTCATTCTTCCTCTACCCAGTTGTGGATACACAACCTGCCTGCCTGTCTCCAGGCACTGCAGTCATCTGCAAGGGATTCTCATACAGGAGAGTTAATGTTGTCGAGACTTCATTGTTACATTTGCAGACATACAGTGGTGCCTCGCAAGACGAAATTAATCCGTTCCGCGAGTCTCTTCATCTTGCGAAGCACGGCTATTACCGGCTTAGCGGCTATTAACGGCTTAGCGGCTATTAACGGCTTAGCGGCTTTAAGAAAAAGGAAACAAACTCGCAAGAACTCGCAAGACATTTCGTCTTGCGAAGCAAGCCCATAGGGAAATTCGTCTTGTGGAACGACTCAAAAAACGGAAAACTCTTTCGTCTAGCGAGTTTTTCGTCTTGCGAGGCATTCGTCTTGCGGGGCACCACTGTATTTGCAACGCAGTCTTGGTGGTATCATAGATATACAGGGACATATAATAGAGGCAGCTGGATCAGGCAAGTGGCCCATCTAGTCCAGCATCATCTTATCACAGCGGCTGACCAGATACCCCAATGGAGAGAACCCCGTACGCAGGACCTGAGCACAAGAGCCTGCTCCTCTTCTGTGGTTTCCAGCAAGCGGTATTCAGAAGCATCGCTGTCTCCAACCACAGAGAGAGCATAGCCATTAAAGTCATCTAGGTTGGTGGCCATCACTACTTCCTGTGGCAGGGAGTTCCATAGTTTACACTGCATGAACAGTTACTTTCTTTTATCTGTCCTGAATCCTTCAATATTCAGCTCTGTTGGATGTCCATGAATTCTAGTGTTATGAGAGAGGGAGAAAAGCTCTTATCTACTCTCTCTAATATTATAAACTTCTATCATGTTGCCTCTTACTCGTCTTTTCTCTAAACTAAAAGGTCCAAAATGTTGCAACCTTTCCGCATAGGGGTGTCGCCCCCTTCCCTTGACCATTTCGGGTGCGCTTTTCTGAACAATATACTATTTCGAAAAGCTAGCCTGCAGTTTCTTGGAGAAGGCAGCTCACACTTAACTCACTACTAGGCTTTGCGATTTTTATTCCAATGTTAACAAAACCAAAACTTCAGTGTGCTAAATTCTATCAGTGAGCAATGCCTGAGGCTACCTCATAAATTCGTATGTGTGTGAGGGGGAATAAATGCATTTCATGACAACGGGGAGAAAACAAGCAGGGAAGTTGTAGCTTCAATGCCTTAAGCTTCACCGGTGGGTCTTCACGTGAGATACGAGTCAAGCCAGCATAAGGGTTGATGACAATCAACAGTGTGTGTGTGTGTGTGTGTGTGTGTGTGTGTGTCTTAAACCTCAATTTTAAAAGAAAAACAGAAAGAAGTTGTCATGACTGGTTGATATGGAATCTATAAAAGTGCAGGGGGAAAAGAAAATACCTGAGCAGGCAAGTGAAAAAAACACACACGTTTTATATGCAATACAGTACAAATAAGGTAAGACTGACCATGTGGACACACTTTTAATAAGGCTCTGAAAACTAGTCCAAAAACATTTTGCAAGTGTGGATGAAGAAGAGGGTCCCAAGCATGAGGAATGAGGCTTGAGCCCATTTCCCCTGCTCAGCTGCGACCGGCAGAAATGGTGGTTTGGTACAATTTAGGCATCACTCGTGTGTCAGTCTCCATCTCTCTCTCTCTCTCTCTCTCACTCAGTATGCACACATATATACAAGCACAGCATGGTCGATCGGTCTTCCTTGTGAATTAAGACACACTCTGCCCCGCCCCCCATCAAGGAAATATTACGAAACCCGGAAAGGGGGGGGTGGGTAGGTGGTGGGGGAAGTAAATGGAAAATAAAAATATCAGAACTCCCAGGGGCTAGATGTCCATGCATCACTGCTTTCCATCTAGAACAATTAAGACCACTTCTGGGCCTGGCTTCTGAAAGGAAGGAGGAGGAGATGGAGATGGAGAGAAAGGCAGGCTGCTCTATAAAGCACTCACAACGGCAGACTGAATTATTACTGTTAACTCTTTACCTTGGGAAAGAATAAGATTGTTCAGCGCCACGTTTCGCCTCTTTAAAAAGAAAGACCCAGGGACCCAGAACGAACCTCAACGCCCCCTACTCCCATAGCCCCAGCTGGAAAACCTCGCCAATTTCGCAGGCTCCCTCTCCTGCCTTCCCCGGAACAGCAAATTGAGATAGTATAGTAGGACCACCAATTTTACAGCTCTCTGTTACAAAAGGGAAAATGAACTTGTCACACCCTTTTGAAAGGCTAAAGCTCCCCCCGACGGTTGTGAGGGACCATCATCATTTTTCAAAGCTCTTTTGGATATGTGTCAGAAGGTCTAAGGAAGCGTTTGTGCATTCCTCCCCACCCCAAAGAAAAAGGCAGGCAAGGGGGGGGCGGGGAGACTCTGCCTCCACCCGCACCAAAGTCTCACTTGAGCTCCTGGGCGACTGGGTCAATCTGGCAGGGCTGAAAACTAAGGCTTCCCTCCACCAGAGAAAGTGGTCCAAAATAAATCAAGTTATTCCCGAGAATAATTCACTATGATTAATTATCAGGGGCCCATCTTAATATGTTGGAAGTGAAGTCTTAAACAAAAGCAAAACAAAACAAAACAGGAGGGCATTGTTTTTTGATAACAGGCTGAATAAGTGCCTCTCTCCCCATACCCACCCCAAACCTCAGGCTTTTAGAAAGGGATTTTGCAGGCTGTTCAATCCTGGGGGGCATATCTACGAAGTGCCAGAGGAAGCCAAGGGCTACTGGAAACAGAAAATCCTGCAAGTTCTCAAAAGACCTCTGCCAGGAAGCCGAACACCTGCCTCGCTGAACGAGCAGATCCAGAAATGAAGGTCGCAGGAGGGGAGGTGGGGGAGACCTGATGCTGCGAGAAGCCGACCCTTCTTCCTCTGCAGGGGGAAACGGAGAGGTGCAACCTTGAAACCGCTCAACACTCCACCTCTGTTGTACTAGGCCAGAAGCTCTCTTCTGAAGAACAGCTCTTTCTCTCTCTCTCTCTCTCTCTCCTCTGCAGCACAAGTGTGTGAGGGGGCCAAGGCCCTTCAGAATGGAGTCCCACCTCCAGGAAGGGGACTGGGCGGCTGGCTGGTCTTTTTGAAGTCCACCTTTCTTGGAATGCCCAGCCAGAGCCCAAACTCATCTCCCTACACCCCAGTTACTTCTGCTGCTGGCGCGGTTGTCGAAAAACATTAGTGTCCAAGGAGACCGGTACCTGGAGAGTAAATGGAAGGGGGAGGGGGGAATTTGGAAAGGCGGGGGGCAGAAAGCTTAGAAGAGAGCAAAACACGGTGGCAAGTTAAAATAAGGCTGGAGGGAAGAGAAAACAAAGCCTACCTTTAAATCCCTCTTCGGGCATGCAGACTGCAAAGGAAAGCAAAGAGGTCAAGGTACATTCTGAGGTGTGGAGGTTAGGGTCAGAGGAAGCTGCCCTGGCCCTTCTAGTTCAATATTGCCTACAGTGGCTCTCCAGGTTTTCAGGCAGAGAGACGCTCCCAGTCCCAACTGGAGATGCCGACTGAATGCTGGGTACTTCGACATGCCAAGCAGATGCTCTACCGAGCTACAGCTCCCCACAAGCTTCAATAACGTCTTCTTGGCAGCTTTCCCTGACACTTGGGGGGGGGGGACGACCAAGGTCTTGTTCCCACCCCTTGACAACCATGTGAGTCAGTCTCAGACTGGACCCTTTGCTCCAGTTACCACCTCCTGCCTCCCCACTCCAATAGGTAAAAATGACTGGACGGGAAGAAGCAGGGCTTATTCCAGAGGAGCGTGTGTGTGCAAACTTCTCCTTACCTTGCATAACATCATCTATTGCTGCATAGTCCACAATTGGTTCATCTGCCTGTCGGAAGAAGGGAAAAAGGGAGACATGAGAAGAGGAGCCCTGTTAAGCCAATTCGGCTGATGTGCTTTCGAAAGAGAGACAAGGCCTCCTGCTCCATGTCACCAGACGACATTTCCAGGCCAAACACTCCAGATCCAGAATAAAAACAAAGAAACAAGGCGGTTCGTCCCCTTTTGGGAACCTGGCCTGAACTGTTCACAGCTGTGGCAACGAGGGCTTTAGGGTGGCTTATCCCTACTGACTTTTTATAAAGGTGTCTGCAAAAGCTTCAGCCAGGGAAGGGGCTGGTCCACTTAATTATCTCTGTCAACAGGAGTTGCAGCAGTTGACCCCTAGCCAGCCACCTTTTCCTCCTAGAAGTCAAAACCAGCACTTACTTCCAGTGGCTCTTCTTCAACCATTGTTTTTTGCCTTGAAGTTGAAGGAGATCAAGGCAGCCCAAAGATCCAAATGAGTTACAGACCGGGGCGGGCGGGGGAGATGACAAGTTAAGGTAGTGTGTTCTTAGCTTCCTTTTTGCAGGGGAAGGGGGGATCTGAACCCAGGCCAAAATAAGGCCTCAGGTGGGCACTATGACCAGTCAGGGATGGATGGATGGATGGATGGATGAATGCAGGAAGGGGTAACTGGTGACCCCCGAAGTGTTGTTGGTCTACAAATCCCATCAGCCCCTGCTCAGCCAACATGAAAGCATACAAACAGCCCAGCTGGATCAAGCCAATAGCCCATTTTGTCCTGTCTCCTGCTCTCACAATGGCTGACCAGATGCCTCAATGGGAAACATACAAGCAGAACCCGAGTGCAACAGAAACGCTCTCCTCCTGTGATTCCAATTAACTAATATTCTGAAGCACTGTTGCCTCCAGCAGTTGAGACAGAGCATTGCTATTGTGGATAGTAGCCATTGATATGGTCCCTGCCCCTGAACTTCCTAGTGAAAAGTAGGTAGGCTGGAAGTTTTTGGCACAGAGAGAGCCAGATTGCATTGCGGCACACAACCACTGGCCTTGCTACAAATATCTTGGTGGAAGGAGAGCCACACCTACCGGCAAGCAACTCTCCCAGCTTACCTTTAATAAAACAACGGACTCCGGAGTGACCCCGAGGCTGCCAAGCGTCGCCGAGTCGTCGGTGAGTATTGCCCCATCGATCGACAGGTTCTGGTCGAAAGGAGCAACGGAGAAGGCGTGCATAATCTGTGTGACAAAATGAGGGGCAGGAAGCGCAACCATTGTGGGCAGCAAAACAAACACAGATGGCTTTTAAGAAATACGACACCTCACGGCAAAAAGTTGAGGCATGCTGCTTCCTCCGTTTCTCTCCCTCTCTTGCCCCGATCTCTCACCTCCGCTTTGTCCCTTTCAGCCCCAACCCACAGCCAAAGGGGCACGCCTCTGCTCCCCACATTCTCCTTTAGGTGGTTGGGGGGGGGGGACAGAAGGATACAATATCTTAAAATAAGATCACAGGTCTTAAAAGAGTGATCAGAATCATCAAGGTGAGCATCACCCTTTCTGTTTTACCCCTGGATGGCCATCTGTCAGGGATGCTTTAGCTGCAATCCCTTGGAAGTCACTCCCAACTCTACAATTCTATGATTCTACGGATTCCCAACTATAGCTTTGGGGGAGGAAGGAGGCCCGCCCACGCCGACCGCCAGGACTCAGGCAAGCCACCTCCAGGGCTCAGGGCAAAGTCCGCCTCACCTGAATTTTCAGGTCTTTCAACGTCTGGTTCGCCGAGACCAGGAGGGCTTTCTCCCCGCGCACCTTCCTGTGCCGCGTGCTCCGGCGGATCCCCTGCTTTTGGTAAACTATGTAGCTTGGGTGCGACATTTTCTGTCGTTTCGTGTTGCTGTTGGCCTGGAAGCAGGAAGGCAGCTCATTGGACTCGACTGCCAGAGCAGCAGGTTTGTTTCTTGACTTAGCAAACAAAATCCCTACTCCCACCCCCATGTTCTTATCTAAGAGGCTCTAATGAACTGCAATACCAGACCTGGGGAACCTGCGTGTAGCCCTTGAGATTCTGTCCGACTTCCAAGTCCCATGAACCTTCAGCCAGCTGGAATTGGCCACACATTTTTAAGAACTGAAGAGCCCTGCAGCTGGATCGGGCCAAAGCGGACCCAGCTAGTCCAGCCTCCTGTTCTCAGTGTGGCCAACCAGGTGCCCATTATGGGAAGCCGGGAAGCAGGACCCAAGCACAAGATCCCTCTCCCCTCCCCAGGTTTCCAGCATCTGGTCTTCAGAAGCACTGCTGCTTCTGACTGCGGAGGCAGGGCAGAGCCAATCCTCTTTTAAAGCCACCCAAGATGGTGGTCATCCCTGCCTCCTGTGGGAGATAGTTCCGCAGTTTAAGCACATGCTTTTAAGTCTGGCCTCAAATCGTGCTTTCAGCGGTTCCAGGGTGCAGAGATGAGGAGCAAGTTCACAATCCACAGAGGCCCAGGAGGAGGAGGAGGAGAAACAAATGATCTTAAAACAAAAAAATGGTGACCAAGGACATACCTGGTTAAAATCTGGATCCTGCTCCCCTTCCAGGCGGGCCTCCTCTCGCTCCTCCTCTGCCTCAGAGCTGCTCATGTTCAGCTCTGGGGCGGCGTCCTTCATGACCTGGACATGACATCAGACGCAGGGGGAAAACAAAGGAAAGGAAAACAGCACACCTGTGAGTCGCCTTTAGAAAAAAGGAAAAGGCACCTGAAGTCAGAGGTTGTCGGGAGTTCACCGCAGACACAGAAGGCTCAAAAACATGAGAGTTGCGTCATAAGGCTGCTGGTAGATGCTGGTCTCTCGAGATTGCCCTCGAGATTGGGCAAGGAGAAATCTGTGTGTGTATCTGTGTATATGTTTGAGTCAGTCTCTCTCTCTCTCTCTCTCTCTCTCTCTGTGTGTGTGTGTGTGAAATAGAGAGGATTTGACTAAGGGACGCGGGTCGTGCTGTGGTCTAAACCACAGAGCCTGGGGCTTGCCGATCAGAAGGTCAGCGGTTCGAATCCCCATGACGGGGTGAGCTCCCGTTGCTCGGTCCCTGCTCCTGCCAACCTAGCAGTTCGACAGCATGTCCTATCAGATCTTCCCTGCCAAGGGCGACCCTTGGCAAGAAACAGCCCGATTGCAGTCGTTCTGTTATGCTGGCCAAGGTGATGCCGTTTGCCCTTCAACATGCTCTGTTCCCCTACACAAACAAACCCCTCCGCCCTTAGACTTTTGCAACGGCAGCAGCTGCAGAGGAAGAGGACCCTGCATGCAGCCTCTCCAGAAACCTGCTCAACAGGATCTTGTGACCTTCCCACACTAGGACTTAATATTCTGCTGTGATCAGCTGGTTCCCAGCACCTTGGTGGAAACACCAGGACATATGTCAGAAGAAGGGAGAGTCATCATGAATTCCTGAGGCGGGCAGGCATCTTTCAGCAGCTCCCCGAAGTTCCCACAGGACCATATAAAGCTGGGGAAGGGCTGAGGCTCAGTGTCCCGGGTTCAATCCCTGACAGCATCTCCCACCGAGGCTGGGAAAGACCCTGGAGAGTCATTGCTGCCAGTCAGTGTAGGCAATGCTGACCTAGATGAACCCAAAGATCTGGCTCAGCGTAAGGTATAAGGAAATTTCCTGTTCAAACCAGCCCTTTACTCAAAACCATGAGGACTAGAAATCTGGCTTTGTTTACGAGAGGAATAGCTGCTTTGCATGCAGAAGGCCCCAGAGAAAACTTCCCACGTTCCTATGGCTTGAGACTCCATCTCCAACCAAGGAAGCACACAAGCTTGACAAACACCTTTCGTTTGCTTCCCCCTGCTCCCCTGCTCAGCTGTTCAGAGATATATTGCCATTGGCCATGGAGGTTCCATTGCAACTCAACAATCCCTCCCCAATATTTCACCTAAGAAGTTCCTGAAGTCCTTATGCCAGTGGCCCCGACAGGATTGTGCTGTAACAGAGAACTCAATGAAGGTTGGGATATCCCAGTTGGAAGAGCATGAGACTCTTAATCTCAGGTTCAGTGGTTCAAGCCCCACATTGGGCAAAGATTCCTGCATTGCAGGGGGTTGGACTGGAGGATTATCGTGGTCCCTTCCAACTATGATTCGATGAAGGCCAGAGAAGGAAGGAGGGATTAGGCCAGAACCATGAAGCAGAGAAAGAGAGCACACAGGAGAAAACGCAGGGGTGGGGTGGACAGAGCCTCTCTACCTTTTTGTTGTCCACCACTTTCCGCACGTAGATGGTGGCCTGGGCATACTCTTTCAGGTCCCTCTGCTGCTGGCACAAGAGCCCTTCTCTGCATTCTGAGCACAGCTCTGGAAGGTTGGGGAGCAAAGAAAGGAGAAAGGCTGATGAACTACCAGCGGGGTCTGTTTCTACAAAGACCAAGCACTTTGGGCAATGTCACTAAACCAAGAAGAACCACAAGCCTTTATTTACCGTATTTTTCGCCGCATAGGACGCACCACCCCATGGGACGCACCCAGGGTTTTTTTTTGGGGGGGGGGGGAATAAAGAAAAAAAATTATTTCCCCCCCAGGCACGGGGCTGGCGCAGGGGAAGCCCGAGCTTCCCCCGACCGCAGCCCCCAGAACAGCCTGCTATCCGCAAGCCTAGGGAGCCGCGCCGGTCTCCCCAGGCTTGCAGAGAGCTGCGCAAAGCCCGGGCGCGCTCTTCAGCGCACCCCAGGCTTCGGCGTGCAGGCAGCTCTGCGCACCCCTCCGGAGCCCGGTGCGGCTTCGCGCCGGGCTCCAGAGAGTTGCGCAGGGCTTCGTGAAGCCTGGAGAGCGAGAGGGGTCGGTGCGCACAGACCCCTCTTGCTTTCCAGGCTTCAGCGAAAGCCTGTATTCGCCCCATAGGACGCACACACATTTCCCCTTCATTTTTGAAGGGGAAAAAGTGCGTCCTATAGGGCGAAAAATACGGTACTTACACACACACAAAAAGTACAGATCTTTCAGAGGTTATCTTCATTTCTTCTTCTTCACGTACAGTGGTACCTCGGGTTACATACACTTCAGGTTAGAGATGCTTCAGGTTACAGACTCCGCTAACCCAGAAATAGTACCTTGGGTTAAGAACTTTACCTCAGGATGAGAACAGAAATCACGCGGCGGCAGCGGGAGGCCCCATTAGCTAAAGTGGTACCTCACTTTAAGAACGGACCTCTGGAGCGAATTAAGTACTTAACCCAAGGTACCACTGTCATTCTTTTTACAGTGGTACCTCTGGATGCGAACGGGATCCGTTCTGGAGCCCCGTTCGCATCCTGAAGCGAACGTAACACGCGCATGACATCATTTTGAGCGTCTGCGCATGCACGAGCGGTGAAACCGGGAAGTAACATGCTCCATTACTTCCGGGTTGCCGCGGAGCACAACCCAAAAATGCTTTTCCTGAAGCATATTCATCCCGAGGTATGACTGTATTTATTTCTTTTTTCTTTTGATGAAGTAATTATCATAATAAATAAGAATAAAAATGTGCACCCCACCCCCAAGACCATTCCATTGTAACTGTCCAACCTCCCAAAATTTCAACACCTCTTGTGATAGTTTGACCCCTTCCCGTTTTAACAGTACAAATTCTACAAACACCTTCCATAATTTCTCCTGCGTATTCTCGTCTGACCTTAATGGAACATGCTAATTTATCATTAATAGCTACATCCCACACCTCTTTATACCATTCTTCCATTTTATATTCTGCTTGCCCCTTCCACTTCCTAGCTACCGTAATTCGTGTAGCTGTCAATAAATTTGTGAGCAAGTCCTTCATAGCCTGCAAACCTTCCACTACATTGTGAATTGATAATACAGTAATGCTACCTCAATATGGCTTACAACACAGACCAATACCAAAATCCTATAGCATACAGTATATTCTGTATTGTATAAGTTCGTATTCATATTATTAATTACCATTTGATTCCTGTAATAAAGTAAGTAGAAAAACAACTAATAATGAAATAGCTGCAATAACAGGAAACTAGCATATTATAATATACCTGGTTCAAATCTGAAGTGGGTTTTGGGTACATACAGAAATCCCTTTATGACGTCTTGTCATCCTATATTTCATCGATTCTGAATTTGCTTTTAGTTATACTTTTTTGCATTTTAAGGTGTCTTTTGTATTGTTAGTCACACCAAAAGCTTAATGAAAAATCGCTATAAAAAATAAAATTCTAAAGCCGCTAGAAATTTTACAAAAAACCCCCCCTGCTTGCAGCTTATATGTGAAATAGGAACCAGCCGCAAAAATATATATACTCTGGCTCTACGAAAAAGTCTTTGTTCCATCTCCAAAGCACAGGGGTTGGGTGGGAGAAGCCGTCATCTCTGAAGCACAGCAGCTGCCTGAAATAATTTTTGGCCCAACGGTCACATAATGCAAGTTAATAGTCTTGTGCACAACCTCAGCATGGAACACAGCCCAGGCAGTCGGGCATGTCTGCAGGTCATCTAAAAATAAAAGTGGAATACCTGAGCGTGCAGCCACCTGCAGAAAAAGCGAATGCCAGAACCGAGTGGGAAGAGAAGAACATAGTGTGGAGTTTGCACAAGCCAGTGATTTTTTATTATTATTATTTTTTGAGGTGGGGGAGACGGAGGAAACTTGCTTGCTTACTCACCAGGTTCAGTGATGAAGAGCGGTGCTTCGGGGCTGGCGTCTGCAGGCTGCCTCCGGATGACTCGAATGGCGTAGTCCACCACGAACAGCTTTTGGATCTTCTCCCACTCGCTGGGCCATATCAGAGCTATACTGTGCAAAGAAGCAGAACATGCTGCCTTACTTGGAAAGGGGGGGGCGCGGCCTCCCTCTTCCCGCAACACTCCAGACCACGTGCATCGAAAGCAGCAGGGAAGGGGATCCCAGTTAAAGAAGTGCTTTCGAAAAGCCTCAGCAAACACCACCCCTGGTTGGTTGGTTGGTTGGTTGGTTGGTTGAATGAATGAATGCAGGCTGCTTGCCCACGTGAGCCTTCATTCCAGAGGTGGCTGCCTGCTATTTATTCAGAATCTTGAGGACTAGAAACTTGCTTTGTTTTTAAGATCAGCAGCAGAGCACCTGCCTCACAGGTCCCAGGTTCTATTCCATGCAGCATCTGAATGTAGGGGCTGAGGGAGGAAAGGCCCTGCCTCAAACCCTGGATAACCCTGCCTGCCAGTGCAGACAATACCGAGCTAGACAGGCCAAGGGATCTGACTCGGTAGAGATGGCAGTTCCCTGAGTTCCTATGCTTGGCAGCCGTGCACTGAACTGCAACCCATGCAAATCCACCTCACTGCCTGCACCCTTACCCCCCCTCAAAAAAAAACCTGAAAAAGATGCAACTACTGAACGGAAGCAACTCACAGTTTAGAATCGTCTTTGGTCATGGAGGCAAACGTGAACATCAGGCCACCATGTGGACACAGAAGATCCCGGTTCCCGACCGAGGAGACGGGGCTGCAACGTGTAGGCCGCCTGGTTGTAGGTCAGAAGAAGAGGCAGAGATGGCAGGCATTGCATAGCAAAAGCCATTCTGACAAGCAAGAAAGTAGGGTTGCTACTTTCAATTTATTTTAACTAGACTAGAAAGAGGGAGAATGTGTTAGGTGGAAGCAGAGTAGCCTTCCAGCTCTAATAAGCTCAGTGGCAGAGTCCCTGTTTGCATGCAGAAGGCCCCTGTTTTCAAGGACTAGCAAGGGAGATCTGGGGCTATGAAACAAAAGCTGTTTCACCCACTAGTCATAATGGCACCCGGCTGGTCCAGTAGCCAGACTCACTCTCCCTTCGCCTTCTCACCTCACAAATTTCCTCCATTCTTCCACGAAGAACTTTGAGACGACATACAGCTCGTCCACCTCCTGAAAGACAGTTGGCCAACTTTTGTGAAATTCAGACTTTCAGAGAGTTCCTTGTTCCCCTGCAGAACATTATGTGAAGGGCATGAAAAGAGGAAGACTTCAAGGGCTGCTTCCAATAGCAGCCTTTCCCCTGCCGATTTAAAGTTCTGCCCCCGAAACCATTGGTTAAAAGTTACTGCCCAGAGGAAAGTTTTCAGAAAAAGCCAAGCAGCATTCATCAGGCTTCCTGAGGAGGCTGTAAACCATCACTTGTAACCACGTCCTGTAGTTTGGTTCTGTGGGTTTACTTAGGGGAGGCTGAATGCATGCAGGCAGTGATGCCGCCCCTGGGCATTCAATTAGACTTGTCTTACCTGCCCTGGAGCCTTCCAAGAGTTCTCAGCTACAACTTCCATCAAGCCAGCCAGGGCTGATGGAAGTTGCTGCCCAAAATATATTAGGGACGAGCTACTTAACCTAAGGCCTTCCTTTGCTCAGAGGACAGCATGTTCAAGGACAGTCACAAACTCTGGATTAATGATCTTCACCACAGGCCCCACTGCCCAGACGCAGAAATGGAGAACTGGTTTGGAGGCTGCTGACTGGATCTCTACAATGCGGCCGAGAAGCAGCTCTCAGGAAAAAACCCTTCGGCGCCAGAGACAGAGGTGGCACATATACACACATCCCCCCACTTAAGTGGGGGTACGTTCCTGGCCTCTGCACACAGAATTTATTTCATGGTGGCGCATGTAAACGCAGTTGCGCACGAGTGGATGGACGTAACTGGGGCATGCCTGTATATTATACGGTATGTAGTTTTTAAGTCGATTTAGGTGGTTTTTATTTGGTTCCAAACTGCATTGTTTTGCGTCATCTGCAAGCCACCCGGCAAATTATAAACCTAAATAATGTTGTATTGTTATGGGTTGTATTCAACTAAGGCCTACTCACAGTAGACCCCCTGAAGTTAATGAACATGAGCCATGTCCATTAAACCAGATATATTTGTAACAATATTTGCAAACCACTGCGTCTAACTGTGTGGGGGTGGTGGTTTACAGCACTAAAAAGCATAAAACCATACAATAAAAAGCCATGTTAAGAAACAGAACTCAGTTAACCATTGTGGATGACTTCTTAATTGCCTGCATTGGCCTGGCAGGATAGAAGTGGTTTCAGCAGGCGTTTAAAAGTGGACACAGAAGGCAGAAGGCACCCGCTGGATCTCTAGAGGCAGAGAGTTCCACAGGACTGGGCTGCTGTGTCTGCTCTGAGTATGGCTAGCAACGGAAACAATCCATCATCTACCAGTCGCCATCGTGAAAGCACTTAAGAGGCTTTTGATGATTAAGCAGTCTACATACAACATATATATGTGTGTACATACATATATTGACAAGAAGGCAACCATAAGCAACCTCTGCCCCTGCAACTATATGCACTCATTCTGAGACACACACAAGCACCCACCCTGCTACCATGAACTCCTGGACTTCCTACCTCTGGCCAGCTGCTGAGGCAAGGTCGGTTTTTGTCCTGGAAGAGGTTTGGGAGAGATGCCTTCTGCTCGCCAGCCATCATTTTGTGGAGGGCCTCATTCTCTTCCCCTTCCCGTTCCAGAATCTGCAGAAAAACACACACAGGAGTCACTCCCCATCCTGATCGAATGAAACTGGGGGTGGGGGAGCTATGTTTTTGCTTTACAGCATTGATTCCCAAACTTTTTATGGGTGTGTGTGTGTGTGTGTGTGTGTCCCTGGTTCCATAAACTCATCCCCAGTGCTGCCTACCCTATAAAAAATCATTACTCAGAACAGCAGTTGGCATGACCCGCTAAGGAACAATTAATTGCACATTCATTCAAAATCCAGCTAAAACTATGTCGTTTAAGGAAATCAACAAAACTGATGGACTTGCTCCAGAGATACCAGTCCAATAGTCATATCCATAGCCAACATATCCCTGCTGCTCCCTTGCCTCTCGCCGACCCCCTAGAAAATCCCAGCACCCCCAAAGAGGTGGTACCACCCACTTTGGGAAGCACTGCTTGAAGTCAAGGGTTGTGGCAACGGTGCCTGCGATTCTTTGGCTGCAGTGACTGTGCAGTGGGGAGCAGTCTTAGGAAATAGTGAGCTAGGTTGAGCCAACTCCGTAGTTTCTTATGCTCACATCTGAATCAGCTGTTGCTTTATTTCTAAGCACCATAGTTGAGTGGCAGAGGACCTGCAGAAGGCCTGAGGTTCAGTCCCTGGCATCTCCAGGGACGAAAGCCCTGGATACTGCCAGTCAGTGTTGACAATACTGAGGTAGATGAACCAATGAGTCTGCTTAGGGTTGCTTCCTACATGGCACAAACAGACCCAGAACTGTCCTGCAGGCATTGGTTAAACCTCCCCTGCCCCCTCTACGGCTCATTTGCCTGCAAAATTTCCTAGTGTTTGGGTTTCTGGGGCATTCTTGGACACAGAGCACACTCCGCCTTAGGCAGGGAAAATGCAACCAAGACACCTTATAGAATTACAGAACTGTAGAGTTGGCAGGGACCCCCGGGGTCATCTAATCCAACCCCCTGCAATGCAGGAATCTCAACTAAAGCATCCATGACAGGCGGCCGTCCAGCCTCTCCTTAAAAACCTCCAATGAAGAGGAGTCCGCCACCTTGCACTGAGAACAGGAGTCTTTGCTGTTTGGGAACTCGGGGGCATTCCGGAAGTAGCGCTGCAGTTTCTCCCAGGCTTCTCCGGAGACCACCCTCCTCTCGTTCTCTGATATGCACAGGTTGCCTGCGGGAGGGGAGAAAACCGCCAGAGAAATGCAGTTGACTCGAGCAAAAAGAGGCACATCTCAATTCGAGGCCCACCCCCCACCCTGAGTTTGCTGCCAAAAGGGAGTCAAACGGTCCCCAATGGACGTTGCTTTATAATATGGAACAAGACACAAGAGCTTCCCACACTGGAGGAATGGCAGATGAAACTGATGGACTATATGGAACTGGCGGAAATGACTGGTAGAATCCGTGACCAGGGAGAAGAGTCGGTGGAGGAAGATTGGAAGAAATCCAAAGACTATTTGCAGAAACATTGCAAAATTAAAGAATGTTAGAGTGATGTTGGATTAAAAATAAGTGGCTTCCAGCTGTTTAGGATTTAAAATTATGGATAGATTAAGATTAAGGATTAGGATTAAAAAAGTTTAAGGAAATGGAAATCTGGTTTTAAAAGGTAAAATTTTAATGTTATATTATATCAAGAGCTAAGATTGGGATTAAAAAAAGAGGGAAAGAAATTGCTGGATAAACAATTTGAACTGGAATACAAAAGAGGGAGGTACGAGGAGGTCCAGAAAATAAGTAAATTTAAAAATGGAGACGAAAAGATGATACTGTTTTTAATTGTTCTACTTTCTTTTTTGTCTTTTGCTTTCTTGTTTCTTTATTTTTCCTTTTTCTTTTAGATTATGTATTGTGTGTATTTCTTTTTTATGTTTTATGTTTAATCTTTTATTGATACTTTAATAAATATTATTTAAAAATATATATATATATAATATGGAACAATTGTGAGGTTCCCTTTTGAGCAGCTTTCGGGTGCGTGCTTCCTAGCTCACGGATCTGGCAGGAATCCTGGGGCAGGTGGGTGAGAACACTTCAGGTCCAAATTGGTCCATTAAAAGACCAAGCACCCCGGAGACCAGTTTTCAAAGCATTAACCCTTCCCCACACATGATTTTTGACAAGCCCCCCCAGGAGGAGGAATTAGTTGCCGGAGAGCAGTGGGGCAGGAGGGGAACCCAGAGAAGCTGCTGTCAGTCAGTGTAGACCAGTGTTTCCCAACGCGGGTCTCCAGCTGTTTCCGGACTACAATTCCCATCATCCCTGATAGCTAGGGATGAGGGGAGTTGCAGTCCAAAAACAGCTGGGGACCCAAGTTTGGGGAACACTGGCGTAGACAAAAACAGACAGCTTGTTTTGCTCCTTTAAAAACCAGTCCTTTCTCAGTACCACGAGGGACTGTAATCTTCCTTTGGAAAGCTTTCCTGCCTGAAACCCATGAGAAGCTGCTGCCAGTCTGTGTAGACAACACTCGGCTAAGATGGGCCAACGGTCTGATTCAGTATAAGGCTGCTCCTTGTGGTTTTTAAGGGAAAGTAGCGCCAAAGCAGAAAGGCAGGGCCATCTAACAAAGTTGGTATTTAGGACATTCAAGACAGATGAAAGGAAGGCCTTCTTACACACCAAGTAAGTTCACTATGGAACTCACTGCCGCAAGATGCCGCGATGGCCACCAACTTGAATGGCTTATAAATCAGAGGATCAGGCAAATTCGTGGAGGATAGGGTTATCAATGGCTGTCAGCCACAATGGCTATGCTCTGCCCTCCACAGCCAGAGGCATCAATGCTTCTGAATGTCAGCTCCTGGAAAACACACAGGAGGGGAGAGCTGCTCTTGTGGCTCAGGGGTCCTGCTTGTGAGCTTCCCAGAATGGGCATTTGGTTGGCCACTGCGTGAGAACAGGCCCTTTGGGCCTGATCTAGCCTATTCCTAGGTATCCCTTCCCACCCTGCTCTTATTCTAACCAGAAAAAACAGCAGCATCCAAGGCTCACAGAGGAAGGAACCACCACATGAAGCCACTGGATGCAAGCCAAGACCAGCCTCCCCCTCTTCCTGCCCCCCAGGACTCCTTGCAGAGCGCACCTATTCCTGCCTCCGTTGCAGAGCAGAGAGCTTGCAAAAAAAAAGGCCCACTGCACATTAATAATTTGCTATGTGCTTGGTAAGGGGCCGCATCATCTCAAGAAGGCCTTCCACTTTCCAGCACAGCTCCTTTCTGTGCAGTCTCTAAGGTTACAGGGCAATTAGGGAGACGAAGCCGGCAATTAAGGCGGAGGAGGAGAATACGCTTTTGTTTTACCTCCTGCTCCAGGGGTGACCCAAGCATCAGGAAATGGGTGTGCGCCAAACGCAGGGGCCAACGCAGTCGCTGAGCCTGCAATTGCTTGAGATCTGGGAGAGGAGCACACTAAGGGCTTCCTTAGGCTTTGCTAATTGCCAGAAGCAATGGCATATGCGGAGGCGAGCACGTGCGCCTTGACTTCTTAAGCAAATTACCTTTCTGAAGGGCATCCTCCAAAACAAACACTCGCACTGAGATTATGTCTTGTTCAATGCAACCCAGCTATAAAAGCGGTAAGGGAGTAGGAGGCATTTGTATGCGAGATTCTCTCATTTTACAGCCACAGAAAATGGCCTGGGCCTACACGAACCTCCCTGGGTGCTAGCATCCTTGGGGGAGCACCTTCTCTCAAAAGAACATGAGCCTTCTGGATCCGGCCAGTGGCCCAGCTGGTCCAGCATCCTGTTCCCTCAGTGGCCAACCAGATGCCTGTGAGGAAACTAGCACACAAGACTGGATCACAATAGCACTCTCCCCTCCTGCAGTCTACAGCAACAGGAGCACTGCATTCCTGGTGTCAGGGGGAGAGGGCAGCCCAGGATGCGAACTGGAAGTCCTCTCACTCCTTTATGAACACTAAGAATCGGCTCACTCCCCACCCTTCTGAAACACATGGGTATTTTAAGGAGGCAGGTTTCACCCTTATAGGAAAGCCCTGGAGATTTCCTACCCCACTGGAAACTGTTGTTGTATTGGACTAAGTAGGGTGTAGCAGTTCAAGCAGAGGGGCTAGAAATAAGGAAGGGCCTAGGTTCAAATTTGCACTTAGCCGTAGGAAAGCTCATTGTGTTTCCTTGGGGCAGTCCCTTTCTTTCAGCCAGATCTGCCTTGCAGGGCTGTGGTGTTGAGAACATTGCAAAGAGGTGGGTGGAGAACTACGCATGCCACCCAAAGCTTATCTGAGGAAAGGTAGGAAATAAATACAGTACATAGTGGGGCATATACAGTGGTGCCTCGCAAGACGAAATTAATTCGTTCCGCGAGTTTTTTCGTCTTGCGAATTTTTCGTCTTGCGAATCACGAATTCCCATAGGAATGCATTGAAAATCAATTAATGCGTTCCTATGGTCAAAAAAAGTCCAAACAAAGCCAAATTTGGTACAACAACCTCCCCAACTGTTGCAAACCCCTCCCCAACTGTTCCCCCAGCCCCTCCCCAACTGTTGCAAACCCCTCCCCAACTGTTCCCCCAGTCACCCAGCACACAGAAATTCAAATCCAGAAATTTTTTTAAAAAACAGCAGAGTGGCCCAATGGTCACAGAAAATCATAAAAAATGCAGAAAAAAGACACACAAGCTTCCAGATTCTTGCAAACCCCTCCCCAACACCAAGTCCTTGAATTCCAAACACCCCAACCCAAAATCCAAAAAACCCAAAAAAGTTTTAAAAGCTTAACTTGGCTGCAAAAGAAGTTTTGGACACGCTTCAAAAATCACCCAAGTCTTTAAAAACCTCAAAAAGGCTACTATGTACACTGCGTTCTATGAGTTGCTCCTCGACTTCAAGGCGCAACTGTATTAACGCTGCTAGAACCAGGAAACAAACTTGCAAGACGTTTTCGTCTTGCGAAGCAAGCCCATAGGGAAATTCGTCTTGCGAAGCAGCTCAAAAACGGAAAACCCTTTCGTCTAGCGAGTTTTCCGTCTTGCGAGGCATTCGTCTTGCGGGGCACCACTGTATATTAAGATGAGTTTGCTGAAATTTCAGCAGCTGGCACTTGCTTTCTATTTTTTATTTTAGAAGTGGGGTTTTTTCAGTTGCATTTTCATGCTGTCCACTGCTCTGCGCTCCCATCAGAGTAAGGGCAGTACAGAAATGGAATCAATCATTGAAACAGACATTTGAGAAGCAGCCCCAGCCCTCACCATGGGGGCAGATGATGTCCTCGTTGAACTTCAGGTCCTCTTCCTCCCGCTTCTCGGCGATGGATTCATCTGGAAAGCAAGGAGAGGATGCCACAGAGTGAGAACAGGGAAAAAACCAGGCCTCTTCTGCAATGACTCCGTTTGAGGAATGCTCTTCCTAGAGAGGTTCGTCTGCTGCCTTCATTACAGATCTTTAGTTTCCAGATGAAAACATCCCTCTTCAAACATGCCTTTGGGCTGTTAAGCAATCTAAGGCCTTTTATTGGGGGTGTTACTGTTTTTTATTATTCTTATGCATTTTGTGTTTTTATGTTCTAATTGGCCTGTGATCTTTGGATGAAGGGCAATATATAAATTTAATTAACAACAGCAGCACGCCACAGTAGATGCTGAGGTTTACATTACTGTGTGCTCCCAATGGCCTCCTCAGCTGAAAGGAATGGATTCAGGTGAACAGGGTTTGCTTCCTGGTGTTTAGAGACCTTTGCCACACAACTCCTGAGACAGAGGTGGCCACTCAACTGCTCCTGTCTCTGAACTGTCTCTACTCCAGCTGGTCATTGTAAGAACCGCCATTTTGGTGCCTCCGGTTCGCACATTTGCCCTTTTCCCTCCCTGTCCCTTTCTCCTTTTGTGCCGTGTCATTTAGAATGTACTTGTGATGCTGAGGGCCAACTTCTTTGTTACCAGTCTTGTGAAAGAGGTGAAGAGATTTGATATCCACAGTGAGTCACGCATTAGGGGACCGATCAAGGAACTGACTTTACAATCCTATTTAGGCCTAGGATGCATAAGAACTGTAGTTTGTTTGTTTGTTTTTGTTTCTTTCCATAAAATTTTATTGAAACTTTTTCATTGTAAAAAACCAAACTAATCTGAATAAAAATTAAAAAGAGGAGGGAGGGAGGAAAGGAAGGAAGGAAGGAAGGAAAAAAGTATATACAAAGTCCTCTCTCAAAGTTAGGTTGTTTTTTTTTATTAAGGCTGATCTAAATGAAAACAAAAAGAGAAAAATAAAGCAAAGTCCTTTCTCAAAGGCTGATCTTAACTCTTGTGTCACACAGAAAGGGGGGAGCACTAAGTAAAACTAATTGCTGGACAACAGTGCTTAGAGCAGGGGTAGGCAACCTAAGGCCCAATCGCCTTCTCAATCCGGCCCAAGGAGGGTCCAGGAATCTGCGTGTTTTTACATGAGTAGAATGTGTCCTTTTCTTTAAAATGCATCTCTGGGTTATTTGTGGAGCCTGCCTAGTGTTTTTACATGAGTAGAATGTGTGCTTTTATTTTAAATGCATCTCTGGGTTATTTGGTGGGGCATAGGAATTCGCTCATCTTTTTTTTTTTTTCAAAATATAGTCCGGCCCCCCACATGGTCTGGGGGACGGTGGACCGGCCCACAGCTGAAAAAGGTTGCTGACCACTGGGCTTAGTGTGTTGGGACTATGACCTGGGGAGAGACCACACTTAAATCCCTAACTTGGCCATGGAACTCATGGGCGGGACCTTGAGCCATTTGCTGCCGCTCAGCCTAACTCAGGGCTGCTGGGAGGATGAAATGAGGACAGCGTGGGGAGAACCATGTATGGCACCTGGAAGCTCCTCACAGAAAAGGGTGGGATATAAATGCAATAAAATAAATACAGTGGGCCTACAGCTTATGCTGGGGTTTCGTTCCAGGGATCTGTGCTCAAAGGCAAAATTAGGCAAAGTCAGAATGACCCCTGGAACCACCTCTGCGGCCTCAGATCTTGCAGTATTTCTTAACTGTTCTGCAAGATATTGCCGGAACATAACGCAGGGCCTTGTGTGATTGTCCAAGAGCCCTGTAAAGCAAGGCAAAGGGCTTCAAAAGCTGCTTCTGCAAAGGAAAATCCTTTGGGTGGCTCCGCAAGATCTTGCAAGAGGCTCCAGAGCCCAGTAAGCAAGGGTCTCCACTTTCTATTTATTTATTTACTTACTTACTTACAATCTGCCTAAAGTTGCAATCAAATAAGAAGAGTATGTGTAACTTGTGGGCCTAGTGTAAATAATAATTCATAGAATCACAGAATTGGAAAGGACCACGAGGATCATCCAAGTCCAACTCTCTGCAGCGCAGGAATCTTCCACCCAAAATGGGGCTTGAACCCGTGACCCTGTGATTAAGGGTTTCATGCTCTACCAATAATAATAATGACTAGTCCTTGAGGGGTTCCACATTCCAGATTTCACCAGCTCAAGAGTACAGGATCAACTGTGGAGCCCCTCGTGCGCTGAGGCCCTTCGGGCAAACCCTTTCCTTGGGATTTAACAGCATCCGAGTCCAGCCATCATCCCTTTGCGATGGGAAGGCAGGCAGGACTTTGCTCCAGTGCTAGGCAGGGAGGCTGCAAAATCCGTATAAAGGGGAGTGGAGAGGCAGAGACAGGAGGCTACCTTTGCTTTTGGCATCACCGTTCATCCTGCCGTTGCTCTGATCGGCATCCTCGTCTGGGTCATCCAGCTGCTCTAGGGCCAGCTGGCGCCAACTCCGCAATGACGATTTCCCAACCCAAAACCCGTCGTTCCTGAAAGGAGACAAAGAGGCAACATACTGTGAAGATCTTTTTATTTAATACAAACTTCATTGAATTTTTAAAAAACAATTACCAAGCACAAAGTGTTCAAGCACGTATGCAGTCATCCACCTGACACCGATACAGACTTGGGAAATCTTTTACATTACAGGTTGAGCTCCCATCCACTGGGATAATTTCTCCATAGTGGCCATTGTGACTGAGACGGAAGAGAGTTTACTGTACTATTGTACAAAACCCCGCTATAAATCAAAGCCATACCGAGTCAAACTCATATTTCATTTTTATTCCACTTATCATAACTGGACTTTCTGGTTCTGCGGCTGTGTGTCTGGCATGGCACCAATGGCTGGAATGTCAAACCACCACTGAGAAGGACTGGAGTTCAAATCTTGCACATGAAGAAATTATCTATTACAGTGGTACCTCTGGTTGTGAATGGGATCTGTTCCGGAGGCCCATTCGCAACATGAAAAGAGCGCAACCTGCAGAGGCACATCTGCACACGCGCGGGTTGCGATTCGCTGCTTCTGCTCATGTGGCGAAACCTGGAAGTAACCCTTTCCAGTACTTCCGGGTCACCGCGGGACATAACCTGAAAGAATGTACCAGTGGTACCTCGGGTTACATACACTTCAGGTTACAGACTCCGCTAACCCAGAAATAGTACCTCAGGTTAAGAACTTTGCTTCAGGATGAGAACAGAAATTGTGCTTCGGTGGCATGGCAGCAGCAGGAGGCCCCATTAGCTAAAGTGGTGCTTCAGGTTAAGAACAGTTTCAGGTTAAGAACGGACCTCTGGAACGAATTAAGAACTTAACCCGAGGTACCACTGTAACATGAAGCGGATGTAACATGAGGTATGACTGTAGTTGCTTCAGAGGTCTTGCAAAGACATTTAATTTCCCCCAGCTACATTTAAATATTAAACAGCCTAGAAATGCTTTTAAATAAAATGAATGCAGCTATTGATTTCCAAGCCACTTGCTCTCTTTACAAAAATGTCTCCAGCAAAGTACGCCCCCCCCACCGACAACCACTCTCTGCACACTTGAAAAGGGGACTTGCTTACCCTTTGACGGTCACCTTCAGCAAGTTGGAGACTGTTTTGTAGTCCTCATTCAGCTGGTTCTTCAGCCGCAGGACTCGGCACCTCTCCACCACACAGTCCCTGCAGAGTGCTTTGACTGAGGAGGAAGAGACAAGCAAAAAGACCCCCATCATCCTCAGTACAATATCCCTTCCTGTGCATTCTGGAGAAAGTGTCCTTCCATAGGGCAGGGCTTAGATCTAAAGCAGCTGAGACAATGGCACAGCTTTCCTCCACCCCAAACCCAAAGACCTGCTTCATCCAGCTTCCTTTCCCCTCTTTAGGCTGCCATCTGGGCATGTTTATCAGACCCTTTAAACTTCCCTGATTTTAACAAGCAGTTAACCTTTCTCCTGACTGTAGAACAGGAGACATAGGAAGCTGCCCTATACCAAGCCAGACCATTGCTCCATCTAGCTCAGTCCTGTCTACACTGACTGGCAGCAGTGGCTCTCTAGGGCTTTTGGCAGAGTGTCTCTCCCAGCCCTACCTAGAGATGGGGATTGAACATGGGCCTTCTTCTTGCCCGGCAGATGCTACACCACTGAGCTACCAGTGCCCCTTCCACATCCCATGGAGGAGAACTCTGTTTATGACTACCCAAACTAAGGCTTTCAGCGTAGCAGCACCAGCACTTGGGAACATTGTAGGCAAGCACCTCTACCGTGTTGATATTTTGACATTTGCTGCAAAGCTGGTATTGCCAAGTGTGGTTAGAGAGTTAGTCTGATTCTGCATGGGTCATTTTTTCCTGTTATCTCTGGGGCACCTCCAACTAAGTTTTACTCCAGGCAAACCTATCGAAATGAATGGACCTAACTTAGCTGTAGCCATTAATGTCAGTGGCTCTACGTAAAATAGGACTAACACTGGACAGAACTCTTTGAGATGCTTTAACACTCTTGCATGCAATTAAAAAAAAAAAACAAGTTGGCAGCTTATAAATGCTATTATAACTAAGTGGCAATTAAAGACACGCACACCAGCCAGTTCCTGTCTGGAGGAGAGGGATGGCTAAGCGCTTTATGGAAAGGGGAAACCTCAGTCTGAGAGTGTCAGCTTCACTCTCAGCCTTTGCGAATCAGCTTCTCTTGGGTTTAACAGCTTTCATCTCGAGATTCAGCCCTGAGAACAGCAGCTGGCAGGAACGAACTTGGGAGGGGGAGAGGCATAATTGAGAGGAAGGTGAGTTTACCAGCCAGGGCAGCAAAGAGCTCTCCCAGCTGCAGAAAGGCATGGGACCAGAAGAGAGTGTGGAGTAAGCATTTGGAGGTTAACACGTGTGCTGCAAAATAGATTTTGCTGGCACTCTGCCACTTGGAAGGCAGTATCAAGAGGAGGAGGTTTCAAGGGTGTGTGGTTGTTGTTGTTAACCGATCCATTCACCTCCTCTCTTTCCAAATAGTATGCACTTTTTATCACTTGGTTTAATTTGCCCTATTTAAACACTGTTGTTTGGCCCCAGCCACAGGATAGATTCCATAAGGAACAAGTGGCTCCCGTTGCTCACATCTCCTTTCCAGGAAACACTGTGCTCCTTGGGAGCTGCCTGCTAAGCCAAGGAAATTGCAACAGCCGGTGGAGTGTGGAGTGGTTCGAGTGTGGGAATAGCAGGACCTTAGAGGAGAGGCTTCAAATCCTGCCCCTCAGCCATGAAACTTACTGGGTGAGCTCTGGGGCCAGTCACTGCCTCTCAGCCTAACCTACCTCACAGGGTTGTGGTGAGGTTTAAATGCCACCTTGAGCTCCCTGGAAAAATTGGTGGGATATAAATTCAATAAACAAACAATCAAAGGTTATGGAACTCTAGTAAGAGCATAAAAACCCTGCTGGATGAAGCCAATGGCCTGTCCAGTCCAGTCTCTTATTCTCAACCAGGTGCTCGTTATTGGAGACCTGCAAGCAAAAGAATTCTCCCCTCCTGCAGCTTCCAGCAACCGGCACTGAGATGCATTTACTGCCTCCACCCGTGAAGACACAGCAGAGCCATCGTGACTGGTCACTGCTCTAACAAGGCAGGGTAGTCCAACCATCACAAGATGATGCGGGAGGCAAAGGTGGCGAGGAGCTAAGCCATGGGTAGGCAAACTAAGGCCCGGGGCTGGATCCGGCCCAATCGCCTTTTAAATCCAGCCCACGGAGGGTCCGGGATGAGGATATTTCACCCCTCCCATTGCAAGAATCTGCTGATGTTTCAGAAAGGAGGGGGCGGATTTTGCTCATTACTTATTCTGCTCCAGCCTGACTTCAAAGAGGGAGTCTGAGTGTTATCTGTGTATAGATAAGGTCGCTGCTCATGCAGCTGTAACACTCAGTGCAGTCCAGCGTCTCCATTTAGTCTGTAGTTAGTTTGTATAGTAGCTGTAGAGAATAAAAGAAGTTATTCTACAGAAGCTGTCGTTCATGTGGTTCATGCTCTGCTGTGCTCCGCTGACTACTGGAAGTGAGTTTGGTGCTCACAGCTCTGAGCTGTGAGTCCACAGCACTTAGACCTGCTTCCTGCGTGGAAGGTCTCTGGAAGTGCTTTCCAGCTCGCCTGGCCCAGTCGGTGGCACTGGCTCAAAGGCAAAGCTGAAACGGGAATCAGCGTTTTTTTACATGAGTAGAATGTGTGCTTTTATTTCAAATGCATCACTGGGTTATTTGTGGGGCATAGGAATTCATTCATATTTTTTTTCAAAATATAGTCCAGCCCCCCACAAGGTCTGAGGGACAGTGGACCAGCCCCCAGCTGAAAAAGTTTGCTGACTCCTAAGCTAAGCTCTCCTGGGACATGCTCCCTTCTGGGGTTTGGCTTACCTGTCAGCCTGGGTCCTCCTCCATATCTCTTGTAGAAGTAGTCAGCGACATATTCAGAGACCCTTTTGACGGTGGGTATTTTGTCCGGGTGCAACTTTCCGTGAGAGCACAGGCAGGCCGTGTTATCGATGGGCTTGGGGGGCGTTGACTCATCCAGCCACTGCTGCAGCCATTCAAGAGACACGAAGTCATAGGGGCAGCCTGGAAGGAGGAGGAGGACAGGAGGGCTGGGGTGGGGCATCAGCGCCACAAGCCCTGTTTGCTTGGGCTCACCAAAAGTGTCTGCCTTGACCGGTGAAGCTTCATGATCATACATTCCACCCCCTGGCCAGCAAAACTCAAAATCTAAACAATCTAATCTTCAACTTGGCAAGAAACAAACAAACTGGGTTGTATCCAAGTCTGCCCTACTCAGAGTAGACCTGTTGAAATAATTTATAGTTGTGATTCCTGCATTGGAGGGGGTTGGACTAGATGACCCTTGGGTCCCTTTCCAACTGTACAATTCTATGAGTCTATTAATTTATATCCCTCCCTCTCTCCCTAAGTAGTCTAGGGTGGGAAACAGATGTAGCATTTGAAACAAAAGCGTAGCAAGCACTTTGAAAACAGAATGAAACAACATGAAAAACTATTACAGATAACATCTAAAATAAGTTAGTTTTTAAAAAACCCTAAAAGCAATTTGAAAGAGTTAAGAACATCCTTCCATCCAATGATCCTAGGGTTGCCTGGGATAGTATTATGCAGCCACGGAACACACCTGGGTAAACAGGAATGTTTTAAAATTCCTCCTGGAATGGAGTAATGATGGAGGCAGGCACACCTTGCTAGGGAGGTCGCTGCACAACTGGGGAACCACCACTAAAAAGGCCATATTGTGGGTCAGCACCAACCAGGCAGCTCTGGAAATTAGTGGACCCAAGTTAGTCTTGTCAGTTAATTTCTACGGGCCTCCTCTGCTTAACGCTAACACAGACTGTGAAAGTATAACACTTGTAAAATAGGACAACCACCTGAACTTCAGAAAATTAACTCCAGCACCCCACCCTCAGAAGGCCCTCCAGCTATTTGGGGGGGTAAAGCAAGAGAGGGGCTTAGGCCACTGAAAATGTAGCCGCATGGTGATGTGTTCTCTCTCTCACTCACTCACTCACACACACACACACACACACACACTCCCAGAGCAAAACAGAGGCTCCATCAGCCCACCCACATCCCAGCTGCTCATTTTCTCCCCTGCACTGAGCCAAAATGAGGATGAACGACCTCAGCTCATGGATGCATGAAGGAGCAAGCCATGCGTGCGACTGCTCCCTTAATGTAAGGTAACTCCATGCAGGTGGAAAACTAGTGCAATTATAGTGAAGGTTTATAGTGAAGGTATTATAGTGAAGTGCAATTATAGTGAAGGAAACTAGTGCAATTATAGTGAGGAGTGCTAGACACACTCTTTCCAATATACTTGGTCCCGGTTTGTGGTTTTTTAAGAGTCATTTGTTAAAGGACACCAACACCACCCCAGCCTTGCCCACAGTGGAACAGTTCGTTCTGCCACATGTCACCATTTATCTCCTTTAATTTATAGCCTACCTTTCTCTCCCAGAAGCTCAAGGTTGCAATGCACAGTTCTCCCCCTCTCCATTTTCTCCCCACAAGGTAGGGCTGGGCTGAGAGACACCCAGTGAGCTTCATGGCGGAAGGGGGCGGGGATTTGAACCCTGGTCTCTCCCAGGTCCTACTCTGACACTCTAACCACTACACCACACTGGCTCTCAATAAAGTAAAGTAAAATTATCTGAAGACCTGTGGCATGCGCATGAAAGCTTATACCCAGAACAAACTTAGTTGGTCTCTAAGGTGCTACTGGACAATTTTTTTATTTTTTTTATTTATTTCAACTGCATCAGACCAACACCTGAATCTAAAATTATTTTGTTATTTATTTTACATCCTGCCCTTCCTGATAAAGCAGCTCAGAGCAGCAAACACGTTGTTCCAATATTTCCTCTTGGGACTTAAGACTAAGGCGGCCGGCCAACTGCTTCTAAGTGTTGCCAGCAGTGATTATCTTTACCAAGAGATGCAGAAACGACTTTAATTTTCCAGGCCGGAACTAGACGCCACAGGATTTGATAAAAGTGATATAAATATTGCTAATTAGGAAGGCTTCATTAGAGATCCAAACAATGGGAGCGGGGGGAATGCAAGGCAAATTTTAAATGCTTTCACATGTTTAGATGTTTTTAGACATGCCCAAGAGAGAGAGAGAGAGCACAGGTGATGTGAATTTGGGAAGAAAATTCTTGCAAAGCTTCCACTGATATCTGCTTGCACTGTGTGGGTGCGGGGCAGGGATGGAAGGCACTTTGATGGAGCCTCAGGAGGGTTACTCATCACCCCACCCTCCAAACCTCGCCTACAACAGTCTTATCCTTAACATGCAATACTGCAAATATTTATTTTTTTAAAAGACAAATGGAAGATCTTACAGACCAGCTTTGGCAGGCAACTTCTGGTAGAGCTCCTTCACCTCCTCGTGCTTGATCTTGCCCCTGGCCACGCTCTGTTTGCGCATCTCGGCCATCTCTGTGCACCACTCCTCAAACTTGCTGTTGTCCCTCTCTACGAGCTCTTGCAAAAAAGCTGGCCAATTGGGGGGAGGGGGACAAGCAACAGAATTAGGACTGAGAACGGAGCCCGGCCCTCATCCCCCACAAAAGAAAGAGGAAGCCCTTTGCTACACCTCTAAAGGCCTTGACTGAGAGTCATTCCCACAGACATCCATTCACCCCAGGGGAAACATCTTGTTTCATCAAATTCATATGTTGCTTGATTCCAAAAGAAACCAAAAAAGCAGTTTAACAAAACAGATTTTAAAAATCAAACTATAAATAAGGATTAACAACAGTAATTGCAGACTTTTGAACAAACGTTCATAGAACTATAGAATAAAAACAGATTAAAACCTGCACCAACTCTCTAAACATCTGGGTAGGCTTTCTCTTAACAGAGATGTTTTTTGCAGGTGCCAAAGTGAAGGCAGCTTTCCGATATCAATAGGCAGGGAGTTCCAGAGTGCAGGTGCTCCCACACTGAATTATTGAGTTCTTATAAATGCAGAACAGATATTACGTTGCACCTGCAGTAGTGCCTGTTCTGCTGACCGAGGGAGTCAAGTGGGTGTATATGGGGTTGGAGGCCCCCCTTTGAGAGGAGACCCCCAAAATAAGAATGTCAGAAGAGTCTGGCCGCAGCTGGAGCAAGCCAAAATGGACCCACCTAGTCTACCATCCTGGCGGCACAGTGGCCAACACAAAATTATTAATTATTATTATTTATTCATTTTATACACCGCCCTATACCTGGAGGTCTATGCCCTATGCCCTTATGGGACCCATGTGCAACAGTACGCTCTCCACTTATGAGCCACAGCAAATGGCATTCAGAGGCAATTTGCCCCCAATAATAACACCCCCCCCGAGCCAATGTTTTCTTGAGAGTAATTTACAGGTTTCCACCAAAGGAGGATTAAGCTCATGTAAGGTTTCTGATGCAACCACCAAGCTGACTTGCCACCTCCTCAACCAATATAAAACATCTCTTGGGGGGAACAATGTGTAGAGGACATTTGCCATTACTTACGATAACATCCACTATATACAGACCCAAGAAATTGATTCATAACAGTCCTTTTCACACAAAGGAAACAAATCTAACCAGGGTAGTCAGTGTGAAATAGCTGCAGAGTGATACTGATGACTCTGTTACTTATAAGGTGGCTCTCTATGCCCTAACAGCTAGGAAGAAAGAACTGGATAGGCAAGCGATCAACTGAAATGGGGACTCATAAATTTATACAGTGGACGCTCGGGTTGTGAACATGATCCGTGCGGGAGGCACATTCGCAACCCGCAGTGTTCGCAACCTGCAGCACTGCGTCTGCGCACACGCGGGTTGCGATTCGGCGCTTCTGCGCATGCACCGAAACCCGGAAGTAACCTGTTCCGGTACTTCCGGGTTCGGCGCACTGCGCAACCCAAAAACACGCAACCTGAAGCGTCTGTAACCCGAGGTATGACTGTATAAAACACACCCGGCATTCCCCCTTTGACTCAGCAAGCTACCTATTTGGGGGAAGAAAGAAAACATCACCACCTGTGCCCAACATTTGCTGAGTGGACACAAGGTGGCTTGCTTAGCTTAACATGTGCCCCACAACAGGTTTGCCTGCACACACACACACACACACACACACCAGGCAATTGCCACACCCTGGGTGCACAGACTGGGAAAGAATAGACAACACACAAGCACACAAAACTCCAACTCCAGCCTTACCTGGAATTTCAACACTCAGCGATTTCTCCCGGGTCTGCAGCCTGTACACCAGCATGTAGGCGTTCCGAGAGCGGTAAACCCCCTTCCCGCATTTGAGCTTCCGAGTCTGAGATTTAGAAGGCTCTAGTGGGGAGAGAGAAGCCAAGCACAAGAGAAGCCCTGAGACATCTGCTCTCTCTCTCCTGTCACGGAAGCAGAACCTGGAACGCTCTTCCCTCTCAACTCGCTGATCTGTGATGGGGCCTTTTCAGTGGTGGCTCCTGGGTTGCTGAGCGTTCCGTCCTAGCAAGGCATTGCCCTGCATCTCACCCCATCCAGAGTGCTTCATCTGCCAGGTTCAATGCAGCTAACCTTTGGCCAGACCCTCCCACCCCACTTCTGCAGCTTTGCCAGAGTGCCAAATTTATTTGGGTGGATCCCCATGTACCCCCCCATTAACATGTTTACTTTTTAATGGATGCCCCATTCACATCACCTGCCAAGCACATGAGGAAGGAAGACAGCACAGAGCAAGGAGCCAAGACTGAAGGTGGTTACTTCCAAAGGGCCTCATGAGAGCCAGCAATTTGGAGCTATCAGATACACACCCCTTAGCACACACAAGCCTCACCAAACGTGGGTTGCGTAAACACGTTAATGGAGCCGTTTCTTCTGGGGATAATTGTGCCAAGGCACAAGAAGCTTTATTGCTAGTGGAAATGGCAACTGAGTAGTTAACCCTTTGCTGTTCCCAATACACCAGGCATACCCAGCTTTTGGCCCTTTGGATGTTGCTGAAACTACAACTCCCATCAGCCCGGGTCAGCACAGCTAAGGATGATGGGAGTTGTAATTCAGCAACATCCAAAGGGCCAAAGGAACCCCACAGTATGTCATTCCAGGAGTGCTCAGAGGACAGAGACACGCAGTCTTCTCTATCCTGTGGCCCTCTAGATGGTGCTGAGCGATGATTCTCTCAATTCCCTGGCCTTGGGGAGTCATTCGTCGTCTAATACAAAATGCCTCTAGGCACCTTACACACACCCTATTAAAAATGATCATCGGGTCTAATTAAATAATATGCAAAGAAGATATAACACATAAACATAATCATGTTCCCTCAAATACCTCAGAGAGCAGATATGCTGAAACAACATTAACGATGGCACAAGGCCGGCCTTACTAGGGAGAGCATTCCAAAGACCAAAAAGAGGGGCCCGTAACCAAAAAGGCCCTGTCGCTTGCTGACACCCTCCAAACCACTCTCAGGGAAGCGCCTCAGGCAATGAATGCAGGACCCAGGCAAATGCAAGCCAGGACACAGACATCAAGGTCCCTTGCTTTATTGATTGAATCTGGGATTTGGTGAACCGAGCCTGAAAACATAGAGGCAGTCAGGGCAACTGCACCAGATCTGGACACTTGGAGGGGCAGAGGCCGTCTCCCCACCATGGCTGCTCCAAACGGTTTGACTCCTAACTACTTATAGGAGCCAGGGCCTCCTCTGCGCGTTTTTGGTAAGGTCTTACCTAGGTCTTCTTCTGCCCCCAGCTGCAGCTTCTTGCCCTCCATCTTCTCTATCTCTTCATCGTTGAACCGGTACCACTCTCCCGTCTGAGGGTCCTTCACGTGGGCAATGTAGTGGCCGGAGTAGGCGCTCACGCCGCGGTGGATGAGGACTGCACTCAGCTCATAGACAAAGATGCTGGCTGGAAGGAGGGTCACAGAATCAGAGAACTGTAGCATTGGAAGGGACCCACGGGTCATCTAGTCCAACCCCCTGCAACGCATAGGGTTGGCAAAGACAATAGCCCCTACAGCGTTAATGGCGTTACCGGCTTTGTCATTGTAATCTTCTGGGAGGCAGAGATCAGCCTTTTTGTCCCCAACCCCTTGGGCCATGGTTGGTGTACATTGGGATTGGCAGGATAGAAAGCAGGGAGCTCAACAGCAGGGTGGTGCCAGAGTGACCTACTTTTGCCTCTGCCCTTCTCCTTTTTGAGTTCTAGATGGGGAAACACTGAGTTTGAGGATGCTGACAGCAAGTGCCACAAACCTGGACTGGTGGGAAGTAAGAAGGCAGGCAAGGCAGGGTCTGGTGAAGGGCAGTGAGACTGCTAGGGCAGTGCCCTGTTTGCCCTAATGGACCAGCCCCGACTGCCACCCCTTCATGCCCAATCACAAGCTGCTACTTGGCTACATAAGATCATAACCTCACCTTTGTCTTCCATGTAGGGCTCCATGTCCAGCAATTCTGAGAACTCGATGTAGGCGTTCAGCTTCTTCTTGTGGCCTGTTTGCCTAAGGAAGTAAGGAAAGAAATAGCAAACGGTAAGGCCGAGTTTGGCAACTCACAACGCACCTGCGGCACCCCACTTGTCACCTTTTTCCAGGATGACGAGGAACCGTTAGTGAGCTTCGGGTTAAGTCAATCAACCAGCTACAAATCCACCGAACAGTTATCTTGTCCCGTTCAGTTTGATCTGCGGCACTGTTACAGGCGCCGCATAATATCCATTCTGCCTTGGTAAGAAATTGATCTTTTCATGTGGCAGCACCTATACTGACAGCAGGCAGGAGCCTTTTCTGTCCTCTTTTTAGCAACTGCTGAAACCATTTTTGTTTAGGCAAGCCTACCCAGATGTTTAGGGACGCGGGTGGCGCTGTGGGTAAAAGCCTCAGCGCCTAGGACTTGCTGATCGAAAGGTCGGCGGTTCAAATCCCCGGAGCGGGGTGCGCTCCCGTCGCTCTGTCCCAGCGCCTGCCAACCTAGCAGTTCGAAAGCACCCCCGGGTGCAAGTAGATAAATAGGGACCGCTTACTAGCGGGAAGGTAAACGGCGTTCCGTGTGCTGCGCTGGCTCGCCAGATGCAGCTTGTCACGCTGGCCACGTGACCCGGAAGTGTCTGCGGACAGCGCTGGCTCCCGGCCTCTAGAGTGAGATGAGCGCACAACCCTAGAGTCTGGCAAGACTGGCCCATACGGGCAGGGGTACCTTTACCTTTACTTACCCAGATGTTTACAAAGCTGATGCAAGTTTTAATCCCTTGCTATTTCCCTTGTTATTTTTCTTACTGATATTTTTCTTATTGATAATTTCGTTTGTTTTATCTCCTTTTGTAAGCTGCTCTGAAGTGCTTGTTGTATTTTGTGAAATAAAATGGGGGTGTAAGCGTAAGCCTGCCTCCTTCCAGTATGGAGGGATCTGACCACAGCAGCTCTGAAGGCTCCCACCCTGGGGTGCTGGAACAAGAAGAGATGCTTGCCTGTCAAACACGAAGCGCATGAGCTGCAGGTTGAGGGTGCATGGGAGGCTGAGGAGACGGATCCTGCGGGTGGCATTCTGCTTGCTCTGGCAGGTCTCACAGAAGTAGCGGTTGTCCCCTTCCAACTTTTCTTCCTAGCCAAGCAAGAGACAAATGGAACAAAAGTCACCTGGATGCCCCTGAGGCAGGCTAGAATTTCACCTAGGTGGAAACAGACATCAAATCCACTCTTCAGCTCCTGAATCCATGCATGGAAAGAGTGTCAAGGATGCCTATGGGTCTTCCTTCAGTGGTATTCTGGGAACAGCTTCTATGGCAGGAGACCAGAATTTGGGGGCTGTCACTTGATACGCAGAAGCTGAAACCAAACTGTCTACATCTGGAGACAGTAAACAAAGCAGGACCCTTCTTATCTCCTTTTTCAGAAAATATCCTAATCAATTTATTCTCTTTGCATATGACTTTGAGGCTTTTTTAAAATAATCAAGCAGTGCAGAAATTTCATGAAATAAACTTTTTATATGTTAAAAAACCCTCAAACAAAAAATAAACATCCATTTATTAATAATCACATTTGAACCTATTAAAATAGTATTTATAATGTTGCTAATTTGACAGAGACCACACTTAAGATTATCCTTCTGAGGCAGCCTGTTGGAATTAATTTTTATAAAAGCTCCATAGGCACAAAAATCCCCAAAGGGCCAACAAACTAAATGACATATGCAAAAATTAGGGCCAACTAGGATCAATCTCCTCTATTCAGATCCCACCCTTGAGATAAAGCAAAGAGCAGCCGAAAGGAAATTGGCCTCAAACCATAATAGGCTGGAGGATGAAAGTGACAAGGAGAAAACTCCCAAGGAAGAGTTGATACCTTCAGAAACTCTGTGATGCAGTCCGACAGTTGCTTGTGGCCCTGGATGTTCAACTCAAGCTCATAAAATTTTGATATAAGTTTGGACTCTCTGCCACACTGGTTGCAGCTGGGGAAGAGAGAAAAAAAACACCACTGAAGACTACCTCAAGAAGAATTACTTCTTCAGAAATCACGGATATCATTATTTATTAGTCACTTTTTTCTCACGGTAGCTCAAAGAAACTTACAGTATTTTAAGCAAACACCAAACATATATATATATAGATAGATAGATATAGATATAGATACACACACACACATTAAAACCAACTTTTTATTTTTTTAAAAAAAGTATTCTGTTTTCCAAAAACTACTATAAAAATATCCTATCCACGCAAAAAGGCCATATATATCGTTAAAACCCAAAGGCCTGATTAAAAAGGAATTTTTTGCACAGAGCCTAAAACGGTGGTGCCAGGCAAGCTACCCTGGGGAAAGCATTCCACAAATGGGGAGCCACCACGGAAAAGGGCCTGATCTCATGTTGCCACCCTCTGGACCTCCCATGGAGGGGGCACATGGAGAAGGGCCTAGGAAGATGATAGTAGGGTCTTGGTTGGTTGGGGAGATGGTCCTTGAGGTACTGGGGTCCTAAGCCTAATAATAACAACAACAACAACAACAACAATAATACAACAACAACAACAATAATAATAATACAACAACAACAACAACAATAATAATAATAATTTATTTATACCCCGCCCATCTGGCTGGGTTTCCCCAGCCACTCTGGGCGGCTTCCAACAAAACACCAAAATACAATAACCTATTAAACATTCAAAGCTTCCCTAAACAGGGCTGCCTTTAGATGTCTTCTAAAATTTGGCAGTTATTTTTCTCTTTGACATCTGGTGGGAGGGCGTTCCACAGGGCGGGTGCCACTACCGAGAAGGCCCTCTGCCTGGTTCCCTGTAACTTGGCTTCTCGCAGCAAGGGAACCGCCAGAAGGCCCTCGGCGCTGGACCTCAGTGTCCGGGCAGAACGATGGAGGTGGAGACGCTCTTCCACGTATACTGGACCGAGGCCGTTTAAGATTTATAGATCAAAATCAGCACTTTGAATTGGGAATACACAAAGCTAAAGCACCAAAAGACTAAGAAGAGGAGAAACTTACACTGTGACGTAGGCATACTCTCCGCAAAATTGCTTCTGGACAATGTCTCGCACATCTGGGTTTTTCTGTGAGGTTAGGGTATCCTCCAACAGGGACATGAACAGCTTGGAAAACTCCTGAGCATCCTAGGAGAACAGTACAGTTGCAAAGGCAGCATTGATAACACAGGTAAATTAACAAACTAACAAAATAAATGAAGAGGGTGCTTAGCTCTTTTGTTATACGTTATAGCTCTTTTAAAGAGGAGGCAAAGCAACCACCACCACCCCTCACTGCATCGATTCGGGGATGGCACTGCACCTCAGCAATGTACAAGGAAATTAAGAATGGAATAGCGCCATCCTCTTCAGTGGCAAAACATCCCTGGTTCACCTCAGCTCAGGGAACTGCGGCTTAGCATTACAGAGGGCAAGTGGATTGATGTGCAGCTGCTTCTGCAGAAAGAGCAAGGCAAAACACGCGCTCACACGCACGCACCCGAACGTTACCTGTTGCTGACCTGTGTCCAAACCCAGCGCTTTAACAAACCCTGATGGATCGATATAGCGCCTCTTGCTGTTCTGCAGCAAAGCAAACAAGTACTGGAGGTGCTCACAAATCGTCTGAGGCTCATAATCTATCAAAAGGCAAGAGGATTCCTTCAGAGATTTACCCACCATGACGCATATACTCATATTGACAATGGTCACCCCCCTCTGCACACACTCTGTTATAAAAGACCTCTCCCCTGCCCCACTTTGCTACACATTGGGAGGGATATACACAGCATATCATCTGCTGGCAACTGAAAAACTAACAAGATGTGCCATTCTGAATAACAATTTAAAAAACCAAACCCTTTCAGAAAGGGAAGGTTTCCTCTTCATTTAGATTTCCTTTCTGTCGAGGTTTGTTTGCGACTTTGCTGCTGCTTAGATACTGTGCTGCCCATGAGAATCCACTGTGGTCTCTAGAGGCTGATTCACTGCCTCTGCTCAGGATATACAGCATTACCTTCAGCAAAACTCTCCTCTCTCAAACTCTATCTGTAAAATGGGAACAAGTACCCAAGCAGCACTGCTAGATTGAGAGGACCACAAAAGCCAATAGCTATGTAGGGGGATAAAACATCAGGACACAGTAGCAGCCTCCGAGCAGACGGAGCCTTGTCAGAGCAAATCAAAAGCCACCGGCCCATGTGCTAGTGAGCAGTGGGAAAAGTCTGACCAACTTACCCTTGTTTGATGCGGTGCCCTCTGCTGTCACGTACTCAGGGCGGGCAATTGGACACAAGTAGAGCGCCTGGCGGAGCTCCAAATTCAAGAACCACATCTGCAGAAAAGTGTTGACGTAGCACGTGGCACCCAGGTTTGTGAGGCCCACAAAGGCATTCTGTGAGGGGAAGGGGAAACACACAACAGAGGTATCACCAAGCAGGTCACAAGGGCAGCCCTTTGCCAACCTGGTGCTCTCCAGATGTTTTGGACGCCAACTCCCATCAGTCCCAGCATCACACAGCCAACACTGGCTGGAGTCAATGGGAGTTGTGGTCCAAAACATCTGGACGGCGCCCAGCAGGCAAACCCTCCACAACGTTAACCAAGAGCCTCCAGAAGATGATAGCAGGAAGGTCCTTTCAGGACAATATATCCTGCCTTTAGTGCACTTGACCTGTGTAATAGTTTTTTGTTTTGGTAGGACTTCACAGCAGGGATGGGGAACATCTGTGGTCCCCCAACAGCCGCAGTAAACATAGCCAGTCGTCAGAGATGACTGGAGTTGGGAGTCCAACTACAGTATGGTAGGCAAACTAAGGCCCGGGGGCCGGATGCAGCCCAATCGCCTTCTAAATCCAGCCTGTGGAGGGTCCGGGAATCATTTTATTTTACATGAGTAGAATGTGTCCTTTTATTTAAAATGCATCTCTGGGTTATTTGTGGGGCATAGGAATTCGTTCATTTTAAAAAAAAAAATCAAAATATAGTCCGGTCCCCAACAAGGTCTGAGGGACAGGGGACCGGCCCCCTGATGAAAAAGTTTGCTGACCCCGAACTACAGGCTCCCCAACCTTGGTTTACAGGGAGGTTCATTGTTCCTCTTTATTTAACAATTACATTTTTAACATGTTTCTCCCCTGACTTTCCATAAAATGCCCGATATGTCTAACATTTAAACAAACATAGCAGAATAAAAGAAAAGTCAATAAAATCCAAACAATGTAGCTATTAAAAAAAAAACTAATGAGGAAGAAATACCAAAATATTTTTACAAGCTTCCTGGTACATGGGAGGGGTCATCCAATGGTATTTTTCTCTGCAACAGAATACAGTGGTATCTCAGGTTACATATGCTTCAGGTTACATACGCTTCAGGTTACAGACTCCGCTAACCAAGAAACAGTGCTTCAGGTTAAGAACTTTGCTTCAGGATGAGAACAGAAATTGGGCTCCGGCGGTGCGGCAGCAGCAGGAGGCCCCATTAGCTAAAGTGGTGCCCCAGGCTAAGAACAGTTTCAGGTTAAGTACGGACCTCCGGAACGAATTAAGTACTTAACCTGAGGTACCACTGTAGATTGAGATGAAACAGTCAGATAAAGCTCTGCTTGCAGTACTTGGTCCCTCTTATTGACAGCTACTTCACAGAACTGGAAAAGGAACTTTACAGCTACCACTAAGAAACCTCTATCAGTTCTGACAAAACAGCCAGGACCACAAAGAAAATTTCAAGCCTTCCAATTCTATAAACCAGAATCAAGTTGAGGATGCATCTTGGGGGAAATAATCCTCCTTCACACAGGCTTCAGGGCCAGCACATGAACCCTGGAGTGCCAGAAGACCATAGTAGCGTTACCTTTTTTCTCCTCTCGAAATTTGGATCGTCAATATTGTGAAAGGTGTTTTCATCTATCTCCCCCAGCCAGATGTGCTCACCAATTCCTACCAGGCAGTTTGGGTTTCCTCGGCAGTTTCGCCTGCAAAAGCAAAAAGCAGCAGGATCTGAACCCGATATTCTGACCTCATCACATTGCTATCAACCAAGACCACTTATGTCCTGATGACACCTGTGTGACTTCCAGCACACCTCTCCAGCAATTAGTCGCAAGCACAGCTTACAAGCCCCACCAACCACAGAGGAGTCCTGAGGTAACTGCAGATAGAGTGCCAGTGTTGATGATGCTCCCTGACATGTTTCCTCCTTTCCCCTACAAATTTCAACAAAAAGGACAACTTCTGCACATTCCCCACATTGCCTAGCTGTCAGTTTCTGTGCTGCTTTTGCTGAAAAGTGCTTGTAAATCAGAATTGCTAAAGGGGGTTATTATTTCCAGCATTTCTATCATGTCTTTTCTCCAGAGAACTCAAAGTGGTGTAAATGGTTCTCTCTATCCTCTTTAGTCCCCACAACAATCCTGTGAGGTAAGTTAAGCTGAAAGGAACGGACTGGCCCCCAAGGCCACCTGGTGAGCTTAATGAATGAGCGGGGATTTGAACCCCGGTCCCTAAGGTCTTAAGTTTGACATAGTACTATACCACACTGGGTTAAATGACACGGAGGTTGCAAGTATATCAGTTTCAGATGAAACCACTTGCCTCCTGTATCAGGCAAAAGAGAGGTTTACGGGCACAACAAGCCCCTTCCATAACAACCTTCCATAAACATCTGACCTGTGCTTTTTATTTAAATTAGCATGGAAATTAAAGACAAACCATGTGTAACTGCAGATGTTTAATAGATCATCTGCTTTTAATTATATGGTGCACATAAACTCACACAAAAGACAAAAGACCCACCCTTGAGTTCACAATTGAAAGCAGGGGAAAGGAGGGATTAGAGAAGAGAAAAGAGCTCAGAAAGTGTTGGGGTTCCTCACACACCAACAATCTCAGTGAGGGTCCCTAACATTGAAGCAGCAGCAAATGAGAACTATACAGCTCAGTTTTGCCTACTCTGACTAGCTGCAACGGCTCCCCAGGGTTTCAGTCTTTTCCCACATTCTACTGGGGTGGCAACTGAGCCCAGAACTTTCTATGTGCAAAGCAGGTGTTCTACCACTGAGCTGCACAGCCCTTCGTAAGAACTTCTAGAATACCCAGAGAGTCGCTTTGAGTAGCCACGGCAAAAAAAGCAACTAATATATTTAATAAAAACAAATAAAACGGTGGGTGGGGGAGAACAGGTGGGGCTTGTGTGCCATAGGGAGCTGCCTTCTCTCGAGTAGCCACGTTGGTCCACCTACCTCAATACTGCCTACACTGACTGGCAGCAGTGGCTCTCCAGGGTTTCAGTTAGGGAGCCTCTTTTTAGCCCTATTTAGCGGGTATTGAACCTGGGGGCTCCTGCATGCTGTGCAGGTGCCCTGCCATTGACTTGAAGTACAAAAGGCTGATTTCCAGCGCGACGCCGACGCCGCCCTGTGGTTCCCCCGGGGCCCTAGCCTAAGCCCAGCCTGCTGGCCCCTGAGGCTTACCTGCAGGCTCCGCGCTGACAGGGCTCCAGGCCGACGCGGTAGGCCGCCTCGATGTGCTCCTGGGTCACGGCCTCGGGGGGCACCGTCTCCGTCCAGCGCCAGGCCGCCTTCTCCAGTTGCAGCCGAGGAGCCATCCCAGGCGCGGCTCCACGACCCCTGAGAGGGGGGCGGAAAAAGGAGAGGCAAGAGGGAGGGAGGGAGGGAAAGAGGGAGGGCGACCAGGAAGCGGAAGCGGACTGGACGCCCTAGGAAGTGGAACCGGCCTCTCCCTGAGCGACGCGAAAGGCCCAAAGCAGGGCGGGGTGCCGGGGAAGCTGTTAGCCGCGCCTCGGCGCTTGGCTGTGACGTCAGACGCGACGGCATAGCCGCGCCGCAACGAAGGGGTGGAGTGGGGGGGGAAGCGGCGCAGCTTCGCGGAGATTGGCTACTTCCAATCCGGTCGGGGGCGGGGTTACTTTCTTGGATTGATCTCCCTCTTGCTCCTCCCCGTCGCTTCCTCTTCTTGGCTCCGCCCACTTTTCGAGGCGGGGTTTCTCTCCCCCAACCCACCTCGTAGTAACAAGCAGTGACGTAGGCACGAGGAGCAGGGGAGTGGCTTTTTAAAAAACAATAACGAAGGAACACACACGCGCGCGCGCGCGCGCGCGCTCGAAGGCCGTTGATTTTTCCGCGCGTGCGCAGTCGCGTCCCTCTCACCGGGACGACCTATTAATACCCACAATGCATTGCGGTTTCCTCTGAAAGCCCTGGCTCCCTTTGAAGGGATTAAAAGGAAGAAAGCAAAATAACAATAAAAACCACACTCTTGTACAAGGGAAAATAAGAAAAAAAGAGAATACTGGAAATTCCTGAAGGAAACAGTGAACCATTCCCCAAAACAAACCACCATCATGATGGCAGCCATTTTGGTCCTGTTCTCCTTTCCAGGACCTATTGGCCATTTAGCGTCACTCGATTCCTTCCTGCATCCCACACTGCTGATGACAGTTATACGCAAATTTGGGGTTGGCTTTTGCATCTCAAACACCCACCAAGGGATTTGGTGTCCCTGTTGGAGAAATTTGCCCCAGGGATCTTCCCCAGAGGTAGCCAATTGCTCTGTGAGAAGAAGGGAATCTTGACACCAAGATCAGGCAAAACCACAAGTTGTTTATTCTTGAGACAGCGCTGCACGGGCAACTCCCCACCTCATGCTGCAAAGAGGGAGGCCACCGTCCTTTTTACATCAAATGTTTACAAAAAAATGTCCGAATTTCCTTCCTACAATCTCCTATTGGTTAGGAAATTGCAGTTTACAGGTCCTCCTATTACATATTGTTACCGGAAAAATCCGAGGGCTCCCTTGGACAAAAACAAAGACACCAACCAGGATAACTTGGAGCAAAACAGCAGCCTGTAGGCTTGGCCTTTATTGAACTGTTGCAACAGGGTGTTCCCCTCACTTGCAGGAGAGAGGAAAGACCCAGAAAGATGGTGTGCAAGACCTTATAAAAACTTTTGAAATTCCCATCCTCTAGGTCAAGCCCACCCCCAGAAACATCATGCATACATTACAGAAAGGAGGGGTTGAGGGAGGAGTTGTGGTGGTAACCTGAGTGTCCTGTCACCTGGCTGGTTCCTCCTTTCCCCCTGCCCATGAGTCACTTCCAGGAGACAAAGGGGAGTTGGCAGTTTCCTGCCCCCAGAGGGAGATCTGATCATTGTCCTTTGTTTCAGTCCATGCTGAATCCACTCCCATATGCAAGTTCTTTGTGATCTTGATGGTCTTCTGTCTAGGACCATCAGGGTTGGCATAGCAACTGGGCAGGGCTCCTGTGGATGTGCTGGGATGGTGAAGGGATTATGGCTGACCAGAACCAAGCCACCCCCCTTTGATAGTCCTTGTCATATGGAGTAAAATAAAAATGGAACAGTGCAAATCCGATGTATGGTTGATTTTTCTATGAATTTATAACAGAAGTGTGGCATATGTAGTGTGTGAGTGTGAGTGTGTGAAGTTTGTACAAACTGAATGATTGGGGTGGGGGGTTCCTGCTACAATATGTACCCCCACTGTACATCCCATGTTCATGCTGATTAGCTTTAGCTCCACCCAGAGCAGTTTGACTAATATTCATAGCCCTTTTAAGCATGTGAAATAGCTTTCTAACTGTTCTCCATTTTCCCTCGTGATTCTGAGTCACCCCCACACTAATCCCTTATAGGGCATTACCTTTTGGCTACTCAGTAATTTCTATACTTAACATATTACGTATTACCACAAGTTTCCTTTTTCTTTGCAATGCAAGCAGTTACAACAGCAAGGCGAGGCATGGTCGTTTCTGCTAAGCTTTTTCTTATCCATTTATCCCACATCTCCCAAGTCCGTTATCGTTCAAAGAATAATTAATGGAGGCAGGAACCAGTAGAAGAACATGGCACCCCAAGAGTGTCTCTCATTGTGCCTCTCAGCAAGCTTGGGTGCAAAGTGTTGTAAATAAAAAATATGCCCTTTTCCCTTATGGGGTATCCAAGAGCCCATATAGAGTCCTTACATAGGTTCCCTATTGGTAGGAGAGAATAACACAGGCCAGCCAGAGAATATTGAGAAGCAAAGCAGCTAGTAAGCTTGATCTTTATTGATCTGTTGCAACAGGGTGCTCCCCTCACTCGCAGGAAAGGCGGAGGACCCACAAAAATGCTGTGCAAGGGTTTATAGACTTTTGAAATTCCCATCCTCTAGATCCAGACCACCCCCAGAAACATTATGCATACATCACAGAAGGGGTGTAACCTAAGACCACCCCTCAGATACATCCCACCTACATCACAGAAATTTTAATATTGTTTTTCTCCTGTTGTTTATCTCCTGTCTAGCAGGTTACTTGATTGGATTGCCTGAGGAGCCTGGCCATTCTTTTGTAGTGGTAAAATACTTATTTCCTGGGCCAGGTCACAGGCACACCTTATTCAAACAGACATATCCTTGAGACAGGATTTGTGAGGAAAGAGACAATGGGGAGGCTTTTCCAGTTTAACCTTGCAGAGAAAGGATTTGGTCAGTTTAGGAATCAAAATGGTTCCAGGTTGGTCTTCCTGTGTTGATCTATGTATGTGCAGTTATGAACATTACCATATATCTAAGACCATAAAATTCCTATCACAAAAGCAGCAGTCAGTCACAGCTCCGGGTCTCGGTGCAGGCTCCTCCTGTCATCACCGCATGGAGTTTGGCCTACCTCCTCCTCCTTGTTTCCAGAACACCTTTTGATTTCAAAAAGGACACATTTTCCTGTCCTTTCTTTGGAGCAGAGCAGAAGGATAGCTTTCTGCATTGCCAATTGACGTTCATAGCCCCCATTGCAGACCCTCCAAGTGCCCCTAATTTCCCGCTGTTACCAGAGAATTGGCCATTATGTTGTTACAGTGGTACCTTGGTTCTCAAACTTAATCCATTCCAGAAGTCCATTCCAAAACCAAAGCCTTCCCAAACCAAGGTGCATTTTCCCATAGAAAGTACAGTCATACCTCGGGTTGAATGTGCTTTGGGATGAGCGCGTTCGAGTTGCGCTCCACGGCAACCCGGAAGTAACGTAGCACGTTACTTCCAGGTTTCGCTGCTTGCGCATGCGCAGATGCTCAAAATGACGTCACGCGCATGCGCAGAAGCGGCAAAAAGCGACGCGTGCGTGCGCAGACGTGCCGTCGCTGGTTACGTTTGCTTCTAGATGCGAACGGGGCTCCGGAACGGATCCCGTTCACATCTAGAGGTACCACTGTAATGCAAAATGGATGAATCCATTCCAGACTTTTAAAAACCCCTAAAACAGCAATTTAACATGAATCTTACTATCTAACTAGACCATTGATGCATAAAATGAAAGCAATAAACAATGTACTGCGGTCACACAACCAATCAGTAGCTGAACTGGGTTCCACACAGTCACAAAAACAAAACAGGGGAAAAAACGCAAAAACAAAAACGCAAAATAAATAGCAATAACAGACAGACATCAGCGTAACACTCAAAACAGGAGAGTGGCACTCAAATCGGAAGTGTGGCACACAAAATGGAAGCGTGGCACTCAAAGTGGAAGTGTGTCACTCAAAATGGAGCACGTTTGACTTCCAAAAAAAGTTTGCAAACCAGAACACTTACTTCTGGGTTTCCAGTGTTTGGGTTCCAAGTAGGTTTGCAAACTTTACCTTGGTCTAAGAATGGAATCCAAATGGTGGAAGGGCATCGGCGGCGGCAGGCCTCATTAGGGAAAGCGCGCCTCAGTTTAAGAACAGTTTTGGTTTAAGAACAGACTTCTGGAACGGATTAAGTTTGTAAACCGAGGTACCACTGTTTTTTTTTTAATAATAATATTTATTGCTTTTAAACCTTACAAAAAGAAGAAAAGAAAAGAAAAAAGAAAAGAAGAAGAAAAGCAAAAGAAAAAGCAATACAATACAATATATAAACAATACAGAACGCAACATTAACATTAACACATTAAACAAAACAAAAGCAAAAACAATTCAAAAAACACACATCATACCATCTCAATATCCTCTCTTTCATTCCTTTGTTTCATCGACTTCCTCTCACCTCCCTTTTTGTATTCCATTTCTATTAATTGTTTCAGCAAATCCTTTCCATCTTTCTCTATTTTCTGTCATGTAATTATCTTAACATATTTTAACCTTATTTTCCATTAATACTATAATACTTATTTATACTTAATTCCTTAAAATATTTCTACTAAAGCCGTATAATTCCCTTCCAACATTTTTCTAACACTCATTAATTTTACATTATTTCCATATATAGATTTTAAACTTTTTCCAATATTCTTCCACCGTCTCTTCTCCCTGGTCTCGGGTTCTGCCAGTCATTTCCGTCAATTCCATAAAGCCCATCAACCTGGTGATCTTCTGTCCGAGGCTCTTAACTCTTTTCCAGGTACCTTCTGCAAGTCTTCTTCATGTTTATACATGCACTTTACTTTGTCTTCTCCTGATCTTGTTCTTATTTTCCTTCCTTTGATGCTGAAAAGTAGATATCCGGGAAATTCCCATCTAGCAATGTTTTTATTCCTTCTCGACAAGTCAGCCAAATCTCCATAGTTAGAACTGAAATTCAAAAGATATTTCCAGTCGTGTTTCAAAGTTCCTCCAAGTCTGGCAGTCCCCACAACTCCAGTCTCCTCCTGACCCAAGTCCAGGTCCCAAAGGTCAATAAACCCCTGCATGAGGGGATCTATCCAACTTTCTTTCTCCAGTCCAAGCGGGGCTCCAATCCTAAAAGTCTGACTTTCTCTAAATTCAGTCTTGGAAGGCATCAACTTATAATCATCAAATTGCAACTGTAAGGCTGGGGCTCTCTCCCTCACCACTTGTGCCACTTTAGGTTCCACAACAAAAACTTTCTCCCCCGCCTTCTCCTCAATTTGCCATGTCAAAATAGATCCCTGTATTGATTCCTGAATAATTTCTGTATTAATATTGACTTTTTGTGCCAAATTAGTCACTTTTTGTTCCAAGTTATCAATTTTTATAGTCCTCGCATCCGTCTTCTTATAAAGCTGTTCCAGTGAATCATTAATCTTACAAAATGCAACCACTAAGGTTTCTTCTGTCAACATTCTTAACGATTCAAGGTCAATCCCAGATTCTCACAGTTTTATCTTGCAGGTGGAAAATTCCCCCAGCTCAGCTCTTGTAACAATTTCAAAGGCTTCCTCTAGGGGGAAACAATTTCTGTTTGTATCAATCCTTTTAAGCACAGTTCAAACAATAAAGTTAGTTTCAATTTTCAGTTACTTTTACTCCTTTTTAAACGCAGAAGGAGACAATGGAAACAATGTATTTCTCTTCTTTAAATTACTGTCAGCAGGCGATCTATTCACAGTCAATGAGCATATCCGAAACTTCAATCTTACTAGCAGCCCGTTTCCAGGTTCAGAGCGGTGGTAATTTGACTTTCTTCACTCTCTCCTGCAGGCTTACGCGATCTTAAATTTCCCCCCTCTTCTCCTGCTTCCAAGGGGGGTTTGATGATTTAACCGATGGAAGTTTAATCCTTTATGAGAGACTTTCCAAGGCTTTAGCTTGCAGCCTCTTTGCTTCAATCTATTTACAAAAGGGGAAGGCGGACTTCCTGTTTGAAACCCCCCGTTTCGGTGCCAAATTAAGACGTTTAAAAATCCAATTTTCCGTTCTACTCACGGGTAGTTGTTTTAAGATCAAATTGTCCACAGGAAAAAGTCAGCGCTCTCCTGCAACAGCAATGCGGCTTCACTCTGTGAAAGAAGCAGTCGATTCGAAGCACCACGCCACTCACCCCACGTCGCTCTGGAGCCCCGAAACTGGGTTTCCCCACGAGTAGGGGAGGCGCAAAAAGTGCCAGCCGAATCCCACGTCCACAAGCTTCTCCTGCCTGTGGTTTTTAGTGGGTCTTCGCCTTCGCCATGGCGGCCAGACCCTGATTTCCACGGAGCGGATTCCTCCCGATCAGAGGAATTCCGCCATTGCCGGAGGCGCTAACCCGGAAGTAAACCGAGGTACCACTGTACTTGACAGACTGTATTTGCAGGGAGGTAAAAGTCCCTACAGTCCAAAGACAATTGGAAAACTTTCCCCATTTCCTTCCTCCTTGCAGAGTGAAATAAATGGAAAAGGGGGGGGTCCCGGTAAAAGGGTCCAGCTTCTTAAGAAAGACTGGACCTTTGGGGAGAGCGCATTTGAAGGCTCTAGCCCAGGGGTCAGCAAGGTTTACCTCGCCTGGGCCAGTTCACTCCCATGGAGATCGCTCCATGGGCCGGATCACATCTGTGCAGACGTGATTTCCGGCCCCACAGAAACAAGTCCCCACTCCACGCTGCACTGGTTTAGTGCAGCGCGCGGGGACTCGCTGAGCGGGCGGCTCGGTTCGAGGGAAGCTTGTGGGACATTTAAACGACCCCTGTGGGCAGCTTGTGGCCCATGGTCCGCAGGTTGCCAACCCCTGCTCTAGCCGGTAGGGATTGAGAGACAGAGACCAGACCAGGATTTATGAAAAGCAAAGCGGCTATAAGCCTGATCTTTATTACAAAATAAAGGCTGTTGGCAACAGGGTTCCCACTCACGTAACAGGCGACGGAGGAGAACCCAGAACAAAAGAAGATTCTTATATTTATACCTTTTAATTTCCATACAGAACAATAAAAAACAAGAGACATCAGACGAGGCGCGGCATGAGGGATTAAACAGGTAAATGGTATGTTGGAAGGGGCTGATCTTTGTTAATCGCTGTGTTTGTTGACACTTATTTCGTGTCATTGTTTGGCAGGCAGCGTACACAAAGGTTTTGGGCTGGTTCCTGTTTTTCCAGCAATCTTGTTAATGGCCATGTATTTCCTTTATTTACAGGAATACTTTGGCACTACCTGGAGTGGATTAATAAAGGGAATTTAAGACAGGATTTGGAAAAGACAGGATCTGGGTATTTTCCTGCCTTTCACATAGGTGTGACAGCATAGTCTTGTGTGTCCTTTTATTTGAATAAAAACATTTGCTTCAACTGTGTATTTTTGTGTCTTCATTGTAGACTCAGTAGGTGGCGCTGGGTGACTTCCTGACAGGTTTTACATTCTTATAAAGTCCTAAAATATGACTTTTCCACAGTATAAAATATAACTAAAACATAACATAACAATACTTGGCAACTAATAAAAATACAGTCATACTTTGTGTTGTGTTAGGTTCATGTTGCATCTTGGAACTGTAAACTTCCAGGTTTTGCCATACGTGTGCGTGCAGAAGCGTTCTGCGCGCTTCGCACATGCGCAGAAGCGCTTTAGCACGCCACATGCGTTCGCAGAAGCGGTGCTCTAGTTACGGACTTTGCGGGGTTCAAACAGCACCCTGGAACGGATTGAGTGCGTAACTGGAGGTACCACTGTACACATAAGAAATACATTTGCATACGAGAAAGGTGAAGATCGATACTTAAACTCAGCAGCCCATACAAAGACACAAAAGAAGCATCAGATACAAAGAAACAATGAGAGGAAATAAAAATACATAGTTGCTATAAAAGTATAAATCAGTGTATCGTGAAAGGTCACAATGTTTACAACGTAGGATAAAGACAGGTACAGTTGTACCTCTAGTTATGAACTTACCGTAATTCGTTATGGAGGTCCGTTCTTAACCTGACACTGTTCTTAACTAGAGGTGTGCTTTCACTAATGGTGCCTCTTGCTGCCGCTGCACTGCCGGCACACGATTTCCGTTCTCATCCTGGGGCAAAGTTCTCAACTCGAGGTAACTCTTCCAGGTTAGTGGAGTTTGTAACCTGAGGTGTTTGTAACCTGAGGCGTTTGTAACTCGAGGTACCATTGTAGTAGGAACTGGGAGCTTTATTTGCAGTTTTATTGTGCCAGTAACAATCATCCCCTCATTGGTGGTTTATTTTTCTTATAACAAGAGGAGTATTTGAGGTCAATTTGGGAGAGTCAAAATGGCTTCAGGATTGCTCTCCTGTACTATTTCAGACACGTGGTTTATATACTTGTGTATGTGTTTGACTTCTACATTTATGAACATTGATTCTACATTTGAGACCTTAGAATTCTTATAATAATGTGTACCACCCCCTCTGGTACTAAGGCGTCTGTCAGGGAACTGCCATCGGAGCTAGAGGCGGAGGGAAGGCTCCAGAGGGATGGCGGAGAGGGTCCCAGTAGGGAGAGAGGCAGCCCATCCGCTGGGGAAGGAAATCAGCGTAACATCAGTGGGGGAATCGGAGAGGAGGCTCCAAGACTCCTCGCCGGAGACCAGCGGAGAGAGTACGGGTACTCCGCTGCCCACACCCTCCCTGCGCAGAAGACTTCCGCGCAGGGAGAGTAGGAGGAGACTTGGCGTCAAGGAACTTTTGTGCTGGAAGAAGTTCAAGAAACGCCCACTGACGGATTCTGCCAGCGACTGAGACAGTCACGATGCTGGAGGCTGTTCAGTCAGAAAGGGTTTAACCAGGTAACCTCGCCAGCAGTGGCAGCAACTTACGCACGAGCAACCCTGAAATCCATTACAGCAATCCGTCAGTCCCCGACGTTGCTTGTGCGCAGCTCCAGAGAGGCATCACCATGAGCCAGACCAGAGGAGCCGGAGAGACAGAGCAAGCAGCTGCAGTGCAAGGTCTGGTAGAGAGAAACCGAGACTTGGAACAGCGTGTAGCTCTCCTGACGGCGCGGCTGGACGAAAGACGAGCTCAGGATGCTCAGGTCAGACCCACCCCCATCGCAAGGAAGGTACTGAGGCTGGTACACAAGTTTGGGGGGAAACCCCAGGACTACAATGTGTTCCGAACGGAAATAGAGTACGCTTTGGAACTGCAGCATGAGGACTTTGCTAACGATGAGCAAAGGGTAGCCTACATTGTGGGGCATCTGGAGGATGGGGCAAGGGAATGGATCAGGCCCCTTACGGCAACGCAAAATCATGCCTTGAAGGACCTTAAGAAATTCTTTCAGGCGAAGATCAAGCAGGCTTTCTCCCGGGTAGACATTTGTCTGATAATGTGAGAAACATAATCAATATTTTAGAAAAATTACAAGTGAATATAAATACTAAGGCAGTTTTGATATTTGTGGACGCGGAGAAAGCTTTTGACAACATTTCTTGGAGTTTCATGAAGAAGAACCTGCAGGGGATGGGGGTAGGCCAAGGCTTTGAAAACGGTATAAGTGCAATTTATTCAGATCAAAAGGCTAAATTAATTGTAAATAACGTGGTGACGGAGGAATTTAAGATAGAAAAAGGGACACGACAAGGTTGCCCAATCTCCCCATTGCTTTTTATATCGGTCCTGGAGGTCCTGCTGAATATGATTAGAAGGGACCAATTGGTTAAAGGTATACAAGTCGGAGCTAAACAGTACAAATTGAGAGCATTTGCAGATGACTTAGTATTGACATTACAGGAGCCAGAATCTAGTACTAAAAGGGTTTTGGAACTGATTCAAGAATTTGGTCAGGTTGCAGGATTTAAACTGAATAAGTTAAAAACAAAGGTCTTAGAGAAAAACTTAACAGTGATTGAGAGAGAGAGGTTTCAGAATGAGACAGGTTTAACAGTGGTTAAGAAAGTGAAATACCTGGGGATTAACATGACAGCTAAAAATAGGAATCTATTTAAAGACAATTATGAAAAATGCTGGGCTGAAGTGAAAAAAGATTTAGAAATTTGGTCAAATTTGAAGCTTTCACTGCTAGGCCGTATTGCTGCGATAAAAATGAATGTATTGCCTAGAATGTTGTTTCTGTTTCAAACATTGCAAATTTTGGACAAAATGGATTGCTTCAAGAAGTGGCAGAGAGATATCTCTAGATTTGTCTGGCAGGGCAAGAAGCCTAGAATAAAATTTAAAATACTAACGGATGTAAAGGAAAGAGGTGGATTTGCCCTGCCAGACCTTAAACTTTATTATGAATCAGCAGCTTTTTGCTGGCTGAAAGAATGGCTGCTTCTTGAAAACACAGACATTTTGGATTTAGAAGGTTTTAATAATGTATTTGGATGGCATGCATATTTGTGGTATGATAAGGTCAAAGCACACAAAGCGTTCAAAAATCATATTGTCAGGAAAGCATTGTTTAATGTCTGGATAAGATATAAGGACCTATTGGAAAACAAAACCCCAAGGTGGCTGTCACCGATGGAAGCGAAAGCTCAGAAAAAGCTCAATATGGAGGCCAAATGGCCAAAATATTGGGAAATTCTGGAACAAGAGGGAGATAGATTGAAACTGCAGAGTTTTGAAAAACTAAAAAATAAAGTGCGAGATTGGCTTCATTATTATCAGATAATGGAGGCATACAATTTGGACAAGAAAATTGGCTTCCAGGTGGAAAAATCAAAATTAGAAACAGAACTGTTAGAACCCAAAACTAAGATTTTGTCAAAGATGTATAACTTGCTGTTGAAATGGAATACTCAGGATGAAACGGTGAAATCTGCTATGATTAAATGGGCACAAGATGTTGGACATAACATAATGATGGCTGACTGGGAACAGTTATGGACCACAGGTATGAAGTTTACGGCATGTAATGCCTTAAGAGAGAATATTATGAAAATGATATACAGGTGGTACATGACACCAGTCAAGCTTGCAAAAATCTATCACTTGCCCGATAATAAATGTTGGAAATGTAAGGAAACTGAAGGTACATTCTTTCACCTTTGGTGGACATGCCCAAGGATTAAGGCTTTCTGGGAGATGATCTATAATGAAATAAAAAAGGTATCTAAATATACCTTCTTGAAGAAACCAGAGGCCTTTCTCCTGGGCATGGTCGGCCAATTGGTGCCAAAGAAGGACAGAACTTTCTTTATGTATGCCACAACAGCAGCAAGAATACTTATTGCAAAGTATTGGAAGACACAAGATTTACCCACTCTGGAAGAATGGCAGATGAAGGTGATGGACTATATGGAACTGGCGGAAATGACTGGCAGAATCCGAGACCAGGGAGAAGAGTCGGTGGAAGAAGATTGGAAGAAATTTAAAGACTATTTACAGAAATACTGCAAAATTAATGAATGTTAGAATGATGTCAGAATGAAGTTAAGTGGTTTTAGCAGCAATGTTATAAAGGTGTATGTAAAAATGGATTGTTAACAGGTGAAAATCCAAAGTTATAATATATTAAGTTAAAGGATTAAGACAAAAACAAAGAAGGAAAGGAATTGCTGAATTAACTAATAGAACTGGAATACAAAAAAGGGAGGTGTGAGGAGGTCAGGGAAGTAAGGAAATGAAATGTAAGGCATGGAAAGATTGATGTGTTTTTTATCTTTTTTCTGTATTTTGCATTTTTTTCTTTTCTATTTATTTTTTTCCCCTCTTTTTATTTATGTAATCTTTTCTTTGAAACTTTAATAAATATCATTAAAAGAAAAAAAAGAAATTATTTCAGGCGATGGATGCGATGTATTCCAGTGAAGTCCAGCAAAGTGTGACTCGGCGAGAACTGATGGGGTGCAAGCAGGGGAGCCAGTCAGTTAGAGACTACTGGTCGCGCTTTGCAATGTTGATCCACCGGCTCGGGTGGGATCTGGACTCTGAACCTATTCAAATGTTGTTTGAGGAGGGGTTGTCCCCAACAGTGAAGGATGAGCTGCCCCGCGCGCCCCGCCCACAGTCGATGGATCAGCTGACCAAGGCTGTGCTTGCGATTGGAGTGCGGCAGGAAGCGCGGACTCAGGAGAAACGCGAAGTGAGAGGGGAACGTTGCCATGACTACCGCATTCCTGAAATACCGAGACAGCTTTCCCAGCCAATGGAAATAGATGGCGCGCGCGAGGTTTCAAACTCTAGTGAAGGTTGCAAGAGGGAGGGGAAGGATTGGAAAACCACCAAGAAGTGTTTCCTCTGCTAACGGCCGGGACATTTTGCAAGGG